AAATTTAGGATTTGACAGATTTTACGAATTCCACAGATTTCGGAAAATAATTTGTAGGTTATGTTGACTTTCTTCAACCCTCTGTAAATAAAAGTTTATCGACGTCTCAACTCTACTATTCTCTTAGTCGATCTGTTGTATTTGGTTGTATTTGTTTTTCTTTCGTCTCTAATTGTTGACTAAGGACTATGTTTGTCATCATTTTGGTTAGTTTGCCAATTTGTAATGTGGCTTGTTGTAGTTCCCGAACTATGTCCCTTATGTCTGCAAAATTGTCCGCTATGAAGACTACGTCGTCTGCAAAGCGACTGTAATAAATAATTTCGATTACACACACGCCTTGCCTTGTACCTCTCCTGATTGGAATTTGCGTAGTACCTTAGTGTAGTGTAGTTGATGTCTTGCCTTGAAATCTAACCGAATGGACGGTATTAATATTCTTACTGTTACCTATAACGAGAAATATTGTTCTTATTTGCCTATTTTTTTTTTCCCCCGTGGCCGTATCACCATCCAGGTAACATTTGAGAGGTATGCGCCGCTCAGCTACAGCCGGAGCGGGAGTGGGTAAATTCACGATTTAAGTACCAACTTATAAGGAGTATTTTTTTTTTATAGGGCGCCAGGTGATTTCTTTACTTATATACCCCTAAAAACACTGACATCACCAAACCTAATTCGCACTGGTGACATTAGCTACGGTTATTACAAAAAAAAAAGGAACAAAAAACATGACATTCAGTTATTCGATTTAATGTCGAAATGGGGGGAAGAGTTATCCGCCGCACTGGGATCGGTATACAAGATCGCAATATGTAATTACATTAAACAACTTTACACGTTTTATTTTCCTACAGCGTAAATAATCTCTCGAGAGTATAGACGAGTATAAAAAGAGGGTAACCCCTTAACGACAAAAAAAAGGAACCGTCAATAACCTCTTTTCAACTCATCGTTCAGGTAATATCTTAGATGTACAAACAAAATTATAGAATTCGCAATAAAACTTAAGTTGGGCACTACACCAGTTCTTTTTGTCGAATCGTTTTATTTCCTTTTACGTGTATGCGAAAATAAAAAAAACAAATTCCACTACGTGGTACTTATCTGGAGTACGGACGTCGGTGTAGAACTCTCAGGTTAATTCCGAAGATTCCCGAAACTAAGGCGTTTGCTCTTCCCAATTTTCCGGATGTTCTAGGCGTACTATTATAATATCAACCAATACATGGCCTTTTCCGGATAAATAGCAACCTTCTGTTTCTCGTATCCGTCCGGGACCACAAAAAGCAAATTGCCAAAAAAAAAAGAAAAACGCCTAAGAATGGAAAAGAAAAAAAATCAAGAAGTGATACGAATTGATAAAGATTCTACAACTACAATTTTATTTTTTATTGGTTTTTGATTTCAAGTAATTTATCTTATTTATCTCAAGAGTTTAAATTTTAAAAGTAAATCATTATGCTTTTACTGTAAAGGAAATTGACCTTTTTTTTTTTCCTTTATAAATGAGTTAAAATAAATTGTCCAAAAAAAACGATCAGAACAACTACCGAGAACTACGCACACAATAAAAAGAGAACTTACCTCGTATCAGCACAAAAAACAAACCCAAAACACGAGACGTTTCTCTACAAAACCCAATATCTATTCAAGATAAGCTTTGGAACTTCTTAAAACAACCAGAGTACCACAAAAGTCGCCAAAGCGGGATGCAAAGTGAAAAATCCGTAAAACGCCAGAATAACTTTTCTGTTCACTAAGCAACCTAGTTATGACTCGTGCAAAATTTAAGAGCGATCACCGCGGTCACGGCTTATCGCGCTGCCTTTTTTCCTCTCGGTGCGTCGTTCCTTTTTTCCACGCTTTCGTATTTTGCCATCAACATGAGTTTACCGGGTGTCTCAAATTTCAAACGTAACATTATCTCTAAGCTCTTTCTACCATTGGTGCTACGAAGGCTACCTTTTACATTTCGGGATTTGCAATAAAAAACTATAAGTTACCAACAAATATGACTTTACTCAAAATATTCACCCGCACGATCAATTCACTTTTGCATTCGATAAAACCAATCATCAAAGCACTTTTCCCACGTCGATTCGGGCAACTTCAAAAACATGCTTCTTCTGGTGTCAAAAGTCGTTGCCTACGTAATTTATTCTTAATGTATAGGAATAAAAAGAAGTCATTCGGTGCTAAATCAGGACTATACGGTGGATAGCTCATGACATCAACGTTTTTAATGGCCAAAAAGTTCTTTCTTTGCTCTGATCGGTGAGAGCTAGCGTGGAGAGTGATTCGTCTTCGCCGGTTGGGTTTTCTAATTTCTTCGAAGAATTTCAGGAAACAAATGGTTGTGTACCATTTAGAATATACTGTTTTACCTTTCACCAAAGAAACAGTTGCAACGTCGCCAGTTTTCCCGGAAAAACATTCTACTATTTGTTTCGAATAACTTCTGTGGGCTTTGTCTCATTCTGAAAGACCCACACAGTCGACCGCTGCTAACTTTTAGCTTCATATGCATTTTTTTTTAGCGGCCAAATATTTATGCAAAATTGTGTGGATGCTGGTCCCACTAATGCCCAAAGATACCTCAATCTCATGATATCCTGCAAAATCGGTTTTCGCACTACATCAATGGACGACCTTCTCGAAATTCATCGTTAAGGAAACTACGATCACGACTGAAGTCTGAAAACCAGCGATAAACAATAGTCTTAAAACTCGAATTAAGTTCATAGATGCATCGTTGTTGAGTTGGTCCATGTCTAAAGTTGTAAAAAAATATTGCACGAAAATGCTCCCTATTAAGTTCCATTTTTAACCTTCACATTTTTTTTTAATTTATCACAAAAAACACAAACAACACTCTTTCGCCAAAACCTAACTGAGTAAACCTAACCTCAAAATGTCAAACTTCCCTATAAAAACGTTAGACGCCAAATGGCAGAGCTAGTTTAAAAATATCCCGAAATATAAAAGGCAGCCCGCGTAGCATAGTTTACTCACTTCATTTCATTCATTCATTATTATTATCTACTGTCTAGAAAAATCGGGATTTCTTCGTGAATGGATGAAGGCCGCTACCCAAAATGCTGCTAATCCTGCATTTCAAGGGTGAAACTGACGGTGTTAGTTTTTTGCTTTTATTGATTTTGAATTAGATTGAGTTAAGTGTCTCTATAAGAAAGCTTATAAGAAATTAACTTTTGAAATCTGAAATTACTTATGATAGCAGAATATCAAGTTTTCTAAAATCTAAAAGTATCATCTGGAGTCCCACAGGCTTCTATTTTTCTACCTCTGTTATTCTATATCACAATTCTCAAAAGTCTTGTTTGCATCGCTTTTATGCAGGAAATTCTCAAATGTATTTCTCATTTCTGAGCCAGTCAATCTATTTCTGCGTGAAACTACGACCTTTATAAGCTCAATATTTTCTAAAAATCACTGTCTCAAGTAACTAAACTACAGCAATAGTGTTTGGTACAATAGACAATAGACAATAACATTTTTGCAAACCTACAATACAATAAATTTAGAAGGTAAACCCTTCAAAGCTCAAATAAAAGAAATTGGGGTTGTTGATTAATTCAGAGTTTAGATATACGCCACATCTGTCTATAGGTTCATATCTCTTATAGTATCGAATGTGGTTGATTTTTTTATTAGCGAGATTTCTTTATACAGCTGTATGTGTAAATTTCTTATAAAATGTGTATTTATCTAAGTCAATAGAGACCTTTATTATTATCCTGTTCACATCTGAATATCTATGGTCTATTCTTTCTTTCGGTTCTTTGTGGCTAGCAGGTAATTCAACTCTCTCGAAAGCTTTACAAAAACCACGGGTCTGTCATTCTATAGCGTTTTCAATTAATACTTGAACACTGTAGATGATAGCTTGTTCTGTATCTGCGGCGAAAATGCGCCTGTTGCTTGGACTGGAAGAGTTCCAGTTTATTTTCCAACCTTTCCAACCGCAGTCGCCCTAAAAGACTTATCGGACTCTAGTTTTCGTGGTTAGTGTTGTCCACATTTTCAAAAAGCACAATCATGGTTGTGTTATTCCATTTTGTGGAGATATTTTGATTTAGGAGGTGTAAATTAAATACCGTCTTGATTCTACTTAACAAAATTTCACCCCCAATCTTTATTGATTCTATGGCTATTATATCTCCTCGCGGAGCTTTATGACTTTCCATCTTTTTGAGGGCGCGTTTGATTTGATTTGAATATTTGCAATTAAAAGCAAATGGAAAAAAAGCAACAGAAATGTTTTTTTATGACCTCATCCTACGCTTCTATATACTATATTCTTTAAAATGCCAAGTGTGGAGTTCCAATCCTAATCTGTGAATACTCCAAAAAATCCAAATGAAAAATCTGACCAATAAAGTTTCTTTTTATTTTATGCTTGTATAGCACTTCAAAATTGGTTAGGGTTCAACCCCACTTCATGCCTTACACGTGATCTATTAAAAATTACAATGTTATTTCACAGATTTCCCAGATAACAACGATTTCAGGGGAAAAAATGCCTATTCGCTTACACAAATTTATAATTTTTATTTTATTCATTAAAATGAATCAAAGAATCATCTCCTGAAGTGTTGGGCACGAACTTGTTAGCTTTGAATTGCCGACATATTGGCGAAAGCGCCGGACCTAGTTAATAACCGAGTGAGTAATCTACGTTCGTGATCGATTTGATTCAATCAGTTTTATTAATTTTAATTTGTTATTAAATCTTATACAACACTGTCCATTTCCTCTTTTCGATACACGTGTGATGTATTAGTTTTAATACACTCCTTTACTTATTATTTTCTATCATCAAAAAATTTGTTTCTGCTTAATTGATGTTACAGTTGCTGCAAAACATTTCTACTTGACGATTATGGTAATTAAATTGTCCCTTACACTTAAAAAAACAGCCCTTTGAAAATTAATTCCAACTTTAATTAAGTGCGTTGTTTTCTTTTACTTTGCAGCCGTCAAATTCGGTCGTATGTCGAAGAAGCAGAGGGAGAAGGTAGAAGACGAAGTTCGATTTCACAGGGCACAGCTGAGGGCACAAAATGATTCGGCGCCTGACAGTTCCGTTTACGAACAGCAGACACCGTCTAGTAGCGATCAGTTACATGCACCTTTTAATGGAGGGTAAGTCCACTAAACTCAAATATGTACTCGAAGAATCAGTTGTTTGCAGCGTTACCTTACTCATCCACATAAAAAATGTTTTGAAAACTCTGGTACGATTTGATCGGAAATTCGACCTGTAATTAATTTTTTTTCTAACCTAAATTATTAAGGTTGTACTACCTAGCCTACCTTAGATTCCGATATCTTAATTACGGTCACTGTCGCTATAGTAACTTAAAGGGTTAGGTCCTCTTGTCCGATGTTGACATGCTGAATAAGTCTTTGGTTATGGCTTGCTGCCTTACGTCCAGGTACCGATGTAGATCATAATTAGATTAGATTAGATTAGGGAGAGCTAGCAATCAGCCTGTCCGTCACTGCGACCCAGAGGATCTATTGTGACTCTCTCCATAGTTATAGAGCTTTATCCAGGTTGGTCTCTCTAATCAGACTCTACAACTTTAATAATGGCTTCCTCGTATAGCTCTCTGCCTCTGGTTTGGTATCGCCCACTAGATGGAAACGCACTCTTGCTAGGCCTTCGCAGTGGCATAGTACGTGTGCGGCTGTTTCCTCCTCTTTCTGACAGAATCTACATTCTGTGTTTTGTTTCACTTCCATCAGGCTTAGATGGCTCTTAAGCTTGCAGTGGCCCGTCAGCAGACCTACCATTATTCTTACGGCTTTTCTATTGTAACTTAGTAGGTCCGCTGCAAAATTGACCGATGGGCCGCTTAGGAATTCCTTGGCCTGTCTTTGCCCAGGCATGTCCCTCCACCATCGGCGGGATTCTCGGTCCATCCAATCCCTGATGGCTGTTTTTGCAACGGGTTTGGCCACGCCACAAACGGGTTCTGGGTCACAATTGCGAAATTACTAAGGTGCATTGACGATATTTATCAGTACCTTATTCTGGAACCTTTATGGTTATTGCTTTCACAGTGTCAAAACTGAATACCGTAGGTCCAAACCGGATTTAAAACTTGCTTGGAATTTCTGCCAAGTAACCAATCCAGTTGCCAAAGTTGCAATTGTATCATGTTCTGAAGTAGAAACGTCACTAGTGTATTACGGGAGCTAGTACGCTACCTTGTGGCACTCCTCCTTTAATTTATTTTATGTCAGAGTAGTGTTCCCCTTGCTTCGTTCGAAATATGTGAAGTTAAAAATTGTGAAAATTCTCGAGAGAGCGTTTTTTTTTTCATCTTGCGAAAAAAACCCTCTTGTCAACTTAATGGAAAGCGTGGGATAAATCTAAAAAGATATTAGAGGAGACTGTATTTTCCTCTAGAAATATTTCAATATCCGTATTATGTGTACCTAGGTTATGGTGGAGTGGTTCTCCCGAAAGCCATTCTGATATGGGTTAGTATAGGTTTTAACAGACGAAACATCTTGTGGTGGTTTCCCTGGTTTAAGAACCATTATCATTTTCGCTACTTCCATATCTTAGGAACATGCCTCATTTTAACTGGTGCTTTATTTGGCAGTTTACCTGTGATTAGGTCAAACCCTGGCCCTTTTTTTGGATCAGTATTGTTTTAAATTTATCTTAACAGTTCTTTGAGCCAAATGGTCACATTATCCTGTCCAATCTAGGAGGTCTTCTCCTTCATAAGACTGAAAAAGTCATTTGAGTGATAGGTCTTTTTAGTTCGCTTGTTGTTTTCCACGAGGAACAGTCTATTTTATTGTCATTGTTAATTTTCATTTTCACTTTTTAAGTGGCATTGTTCAGTGCAATCTTTTCTACTGGGGCTACTGATTTTTTTATATATCAGATTTTCTTCGGGTACTTATTAATCTTTGCTATGGTCTTCATATCTGGGATATTTTCCCATGCTGCTTGTTGGATATTTTGCACAAAATATTGGAACCAGGAAGGAAGTTATTCTTTAGGTGATTTAAATGCCAGAACTGGAAGAAAAGTAAATAACAAAGTTGTGGGTTTTTGAGGAACAAGTAAACAAAAACTACCAATACAAGGACATCCATTAATACACGTGGACTCAACCGACGAGAAGTCTGAAATCAATAATCGATTACTGTATTTGCAAAGAAAATTCCAAAATATAGGTAAATAACGTTAGAGTCCATCGAGGCGCAGGGTGTGGAACTGATCATCATTTACTTAAAGCGTCACTACTATGCACATTTCAAGGATGCCAACAACGAAACGAAGACGAAAACTAGTCCAACCAGGTTCTATATCGAATTGACTGGAAATGAAATTATGTCTAGTATTCCCTACCAATTAGTAGCTCTTGGCGAAGCAACGATGGGCGCTATTGGAGAAGTAGATAGTAAAAAGAATAGAAATGAATGGTGGGATAAAGAAATAGAAGATCTTGTGGAGACGAAGAAAGCTATGTTGTTAGCAACAAGGGATATTCACGATCGTCAACAGTATAGTACCTTAAACAGAGAAGTAAAAAAAAAGTGGTAAATAAAGCTAGAAGTGATATGTGGCATAAAGCCTGCGATAACATAGAGAAGTTCTTGGGCAACACAAGAAGTAAAGAAGCCTGGTAGTAGAACAGATAGCAAAGAACGCAGTAGATTAAGCACCTGATCTTCAAAAAGCGTACGATAGCGTCCCATTAACTAAGCTGTGGCAAGTGTTAGAAGACAAGAAAATTGTACTAATATATAAGGTTGTTCGGAAAGTCATTTCGTTTTTTCCCGTCAGAGGACTTAATTACGTTTTTTCGAAACCAACTTCACACTTAAGCCGCATAACCATTATATGTCTTGAGAGCTGATATTGCAAGGCTTGTGTGTGAAAAAGTTCTATTAATTCTACGCAGTAGTTTTTGGTTGGTGCCCTTTTAAATATGGAGAGCAATAAGCAGCATTTTCGTCATATTTTACTTTTTTACTTCAGAAAAGGTAAAAATGCTGTCCAAGCGAGATGCGATAAAGGCATTAGTTGATGCAAATCGGCGAATAACCACACGAGAGATCGGTGAGAGATTAAATTTGTCGAATTCGACTGTTTATGGCCATTTGAAAGGCATGGGCTTAACCTCGAAGCTCGATGTGTGGGTGCCCCATGTCCTTACGGAGCGAAACTTGTGTCGTCGCGTTGACGTGTGTGATTCGCTCCTCAAACGTCAAGAAAATGATCCATTTTTGAAGCGGATTATTACTGAGGACGAAAAATGGGTTGTATACAACAATGTTAAACGCAAGAGGTCATGGAGCAGAAAAGATGAACCGGCTCAAAGCGTATCAAAAGCCAACATTCACCAAAAAAAGGTGATGCTCTCCGTTTGGTGGGATGTCAAAGGAATCGTTTTTTTTTAGCTTTTGCCGGACAATACAACGATTAATTCAGAAGTCTATTGTCATCAACTGGACAAATTGAATGATTCACTTAAAGAGAAGAGGCCCGAATTAATCAACAGGAAGGGTGTAGTGTTCCACCAGGATAATGCGAGACCTCACACAAGTTTGGTCACTCGCCAAAAACTTTTACAGCTTGAATGGGACGTACTGCAACATCCACCATATTCTCCCGATCTGGCGCCTTCCGACTACTATTTGTTCCGGTCCCTGCAAAATTTTTTGGATGGCAAAACCTTTACCTTAAATGAAGATGTCAAAAACCACCTGAACCAGTTTTTTGCCAGCAAGGACCAAAACTTTTATGAGAGGGGAATTATGTTACTGCCAGAAAGATGGCAAAAGGTGTTGGACCAGAATGGCCAATATATAATTTAATAAAATATTTATTCATTATACGAAAACTGTCTTTCATATTCCCCAAAAAAAACGAAATGACTTTCCGAACAACCCAATACATTAATGCAGTGAAGGAGTTATTCGATATGACGAGTATAATAAAGATTGAGCAAAAAGTAGCCAGAAAGATAAAAGTGATTAAGGATATATAGAGACACACACTTATTTTTATCTTGGATTCCAAACATGTTATAGTATACTTTGTAACACACATCCCCAAAGTGAAAACTTTTTGAAAACCTTGTATTCTTGCCATAATCTTCTCTTCTTGGCGACTATTGAAATCACCACACGTATCTTCTAATATTTATAAAATTTTATGCCCTTTTTTTCTCTTCAGTTTTGGTCGTTTCTGAAAACATAGTGTAATATAAAAAAATGCCGTAGAATGTAGCAAAATTGCAAAGATGATTAAAAATTAAAAATATAACAATTTTTGTCAACTTCCAAGATAATCTATATTTTCATATTTTGTTATGTTTATGTTTGATATTTTCTAAATTGTCCATGAAAATTTCTGCAAGTAGTGGACTATGTAGTGGGTTTGCCATAATTAATCCTTCTTTGGCAATATGAAATTGGAATAATGTCTTTAATCTTGTTAATTAGTTCGAACGAATTTGATATTCTAAAATTTTTATTAGTTTTGTTGAGAATTTAACTGATGATGCTGTTACAAAAGAAACTAAGAAACTACAGGCCTTTGTGTAATTTATTTAAAAAACATAACTTTCGAGGCTCAGGATTCATGATTAGTAAGTAATGAATCTGTAATTACAGTTTTGATTTTTCTTTGATATAACTCAGTGGGATCATATTAAATATTTTGGTATATATCTGGTTTAAGAAACTGTTTGGTTTTTATAATACATTCTAGAAAATTTTGTAAATACTTTATTATTTTGGAAAGCCTTATTTTTATTTGATTTCACCATAGACACATATGTAAAAGTTCCTGCAATTCACTGCTAGTTGTAAGTTGAAATTTTATTGAATTATCTAATACGTGTCCACAGACTACTTAATATACCACTTTCCACACAAAATTTTGAAAAAGAATTAAATATTATAAAACAAATAGCTTTTAACAATGGCTTTGATTGTCAGTTTGACGATAATTTTGATATTTTACATGATCTATTGAGATTAACAAAATGAGATATTTGAATTAATTACTTAGAGACCAGTTGGATTTAAATGCGTCTCCCTTGTTAATTTGAATTTATAACCCTACAATGGTAATTAAGTATATCAAAATACGATAACAAGGCGCAATGGACGGTGGTCTGTTTGTGCAGGAAGTACATTTTTTAAATGTTTGATCACTTTTAATTACAAGATTTGTGTTTATTTTTGTTTAATAGAATAATTTTGAAAGACAGTTTAACAATATCGATTAAATGTTGCTTTTTTAATAAAGGAAAATTATATTTCTTCGAAAACTCATTAATTCAGAAATTCCAAAAAAACAGATAACAGCTGATGTGGTGGTATACCTAGGCGGTTGCTTCATAACTTATTATGTATTCTGCGTATTGAAAATTGGCGTAGCTATCCAATAGTTCAGATTTAGTTAAAATTTAAACTAAAAATATATATTTCGTAACCATTGACTTCCATGTGTGGCGTATGATAAAATCTCACCCATGTACTGTCATCAAGGTTATATATATTAGATGCGACTATATTATGGGTTTTCGTTCGCTGGTCGATTTAGGTTTTGTCGAAAACCTGAAACATCAGAAAGACTTTTTTCCGTTCCAGATACGCCACGTATGGAAACGACGTAGGGTCCTACACGCCCACTTATTATCCTGGTCAAACTCAGGTGCAGGCGAACTCCATGGGCTACGACATATCCGCGGACTACGCCGTAGATAGCACCACTACGGTGTACGACACCAGACCGGGTATCGACGCTCTGAGTGACACGGGGAGTCTTATGACGGCGAATGTCGTAACTACAGGTATGTATCGCTTAATTTAAAGAGGCCACACACGCGCGGACTTGTCTTACGGAACAAAATATATTATTCATGTTTGCATTGTATGGTTTATCCTAGTGTTGCATATTGAAAGATAAGCTTACAGGTTTTAAATTCAAACACAAAACAAATTGCTCTCATTATATCCCTTTTTCAAATATTACCTGGGAATCTCGTAGATGGCTGAGAAAAAAAAACACTCAAAATTCGATAATAATTATTATTGTTGTTGGGGGTTGAAATTGTGACAGACTTTGGCGCTTTCCTATCGAATAAAATCAAAATAATTAAAAATAAACTGAGTGGACTTTAGGGTATCTACGGATAGGCCTTTTCTTCTTTCTTCGGTATGAAAGTAGGATTTAAGAAAACAATAAAACTGAAATTTTAATAAAGTCCCATTTGGAAATAAACATCGATATTTTTCAATCGAAACTTAACATAGTCCAAGCTATCGGGGAATGTTTTGAATGCAGTCGTTTAATTTTCTTAAAATTGATCAGTGAACAATCAAAATTTTGCAAAATTGTTGTATCAATATTTAAGAAATATTTATGCTAATGCGGTGTTGCAAAATATTCGAAAACTCTCAATAAAATAAAATAATTTAAAAAAAAATTGGTATACGAATTAAATTTAATATTAATTTATATGTATAAAGACTCTTTTCGTCTATTTTTAGTTCGGTAACTTGGCGGAAATCTGTGTACTCTTACAGATAGTGTGTTAAAGTAATATATCTAAAGTTATAGATGACACTAAAAGCAACCATTTAAAATTGAAATATACAGGGTGAAATAAAACTTATTTTTGTAAAACAATGGAACACCTTGTATATTATGACTTTAATAGATATTCCTTTTTATACCTAATTTATCGTTTATAATTAGTGTTTTCGGAATTGTGGCAATTTTTTTCTCGAAAATGTGTTTAATGATTATTTATCCTATACTTGTCTCAGGGTTTGTTCGAATCGTTTATACAGGGTGAGTCAAAATTAAAATTTTTAATTTCCATTAATTACTCCTATTAATGCATTAAAAATACAATATTAGTATTGCTAATAGTTCTAGAAAAAACACTTAAAAAATAATAACAAAGCTAATTGCAAAACAAAAAGTATTGTTCAATTCAGTTTCACTTTATTTATTGCAAAGAAATGGCTGCCACCGACATTGATATACATTCCAACAGGGTCTTTAAACGATTGGACAACAATCGCAGTTTTTTACACCTGGTATTTAACCAATCCCCACCGGAACAACTATCGAAGAAAACGAAACGAGATAAATGCAAGAATAAAAGAACTAAAAGGGAAAATTTCACAAAAGAAATGCATGGAGGCCAAAGGAAAATATGGGGCATGTTAAGAAGAAACAAACTTGAAGTCAAAGATACCGTACAAACTAATAAAATAACACCACAACAGTCGGAAATATATTTTAAAAATCTATATAAGGAACAGGAAGACATGGAACAAACACAAGGCGAACAATAACATTGAACTAATCCATGACAAAAACTACAGAATGAAATACTAATCTTATTTAAAACGACGAACGATTGGAAGAACAGCACGACAATACCCATTTTCAAAGAAGGGCAGAAATCGAATCCGGAAAACTATCGAGGAATAACATTGCTTAATAGCATCCTCAAAGCATTCGCAAAAAATATACTGGGAGAAGTCACCAAAGCCATAAGTATACGAGAAGAACAACAAGGTTATCCAAGGAGCAGATCCAAATATGCGAAAAATCGTTAGAATTCAATAATCTGGGTATTTATATTTTGTCGATATGACCAAGAGTGCGTTTGACGGATGTCCTGAAAATCATGAGAACGGAAGGTTTAAATCATTGATTGATCAACTTAATACACGATATAAACACCCATTGTAGAACAAAAATCAGAGTTGGACAAACAACTGAACATATAAATATAAACACAGAAATTAGACAAGGCGATTCACTCAGCCCATATATATTCAACCTATCGATGGATAAAATAATAGAAAACCCTCCTAGGACAGCTGGATTTAAAAAGGGAGACACATTCTTCCATGCCAACACAAACGATGCTGTTCTTATTGCAGATTCTGAAGATAATCTCCAAATGCTACTGCACTCTTTTAACACTAAAGCAAAAGAATTAAATATGCTCATCAACACCGAGAAGACTAAATGCTTAGTAACATCCAAAAGACCTATAAGATAAGCTGGAAATCGATTCAAAAATAATAGAACAGGTAAATCATTTTAAATATCTAGGTGCAGAAATAACGAAGTAAGAGAGCAATGTAGACATTGTATGTAAGAACAAATACTTTAAAACGGTTATAAGACCCATTATAACATACGCAGCAGAAGTAAGAGTAGATACAAACGGAATCCTACAAATGATGCGAACAGTTGAAATGAAAATATTAAGAACTATACGGGGTAAAACTTTGTATGACAGAATACGGAATGAGGACATCAGACAGCAGTGCGGAATGCAAGACCTAGGAAGGTGGGCGAGGCAAACACGATGGTTTTGGAACAAACACATAAAAAGAATGGAAGATGGCAGACTCGTCAAGAACGCAACGCAGTAGGGAAAAGATCTCAAGGGAGACCGCCAGAACGGTGGCGAGAATGCTGGACCTCGTCTTCCGGAGAAGACGTGTGGACAAACAAATAATTTTAATAATAAATTTTAAAATTGAGGGATCAATTTTTCATCATAAGTACTTATACAAAATAAATATAGATTAAATTTTTATGATCAAGTGGTAAATGCAGGGTCCACTTGACGTGATCTTACTCAGTATTCAATTTTTTTCGTCATTGGAATGGAAGTTATAGACAATAGGGCGTATAAGTAAAAATATTCACAAATTGTATCTCTTTTGACCTTACCTTATGCAACAACATTTCAAAACTGCGATAAATGAGATATACTTTGTCACATTATTGCGCCACCCTGTATTTGTCCAGATTATCCATCTCATACATGTCTGCGTGACTGACGACCCCTTATAAACAAAAACTAAGACCTCGCGTTTAATGCAATGAATGAATGCAAATGGAGCGCCGAACTCGTGTTAAGATGGCGGCTGTTTCAGTGGTCACGTGCAAAAAAATTCAGGAAAAAACACTGAAAAAATAACTTTAATTTGGTTAATAAATATGCGTCCTAGAACACCTCCTGCAAAAGAGGCCCAAAAATCGTTTTTTTTTTTAAATAATTTTCGAAAGATACCAAAATCAAATTTAGGTCCCAAATACAGTGTCCAGGGTAAGAATGTCTATGGTCGGCATATTGGAAACCATGAGAGGTACGAATATGACAAAACTAAAACATTCCCTTTTCTAATTTAACCATCTTCGTACTTCTTATGTTATTCAATATCCCCATTGATTTATAGTCTGGACTTGGACACAGTGTATAGTTCTGTCAAATACCAGCAGCTTTGAGAGTACTTTTTTTTTAATCGAAAATCATTGCAAAAAATATTTTTATTTTGTTTGTTTTATTTTTATGGTGTAGATGTGATTTTACGTAACTTAAACCATTTTAGCATGAATGAGAAAAGATACATGCCTTTCCTAACTGAAAACAAAGCGTCTTTTTAAAAACAACTTTATTTTTCTAAATTACAAAAATTAGTAGTTTCACGTAAAACCGTATTCTCTTTAACTGACTGACTAACAAATAAGAGAAATGTGATTAAAAGCTGACGCGGCAAAATCTGACTAAACATTTTCTATGAATGTAAGGATGGTTCGTGACATAATTCATGTTCGTAACCAAACTAAAGTTATTCTTTAACATTGTATTTACCCTAGAAATTATTGGAGAGTTTTTGAAGCACTCTGTATAAAAACCCTAATTTTATCAGGAAGATATTTTTTTTTATGTTATTTACTTATTTGTTAGGAAACCGCTCTCGACTTCTACAATAATTTAATTGTTTATCGAAAGCGAATTTGATGATTGTTTAATCCAAGTTTATTTGTTAATTGTTAGTTATTATAACGCTGACACCGTGCTAACGCTTTGTCCGGAGATGCGGGTAAAATAACGGTGCATGAGCTTCTACCTATTACATTCTCTTCTTATTTAATAGCTAATCCATGTTTAGGCAATACTAACGCAAACTCTGGGGGTGGTGGGGGAGGTGGCGGTGGCGGCGGCGGCGGGGGCGGGGGCGGTGTCAAACAATCCTCGTCCCTATCCTTTAAGCGTGTCACTCAAACATCGGCGGCTAATCTAAGCGGCGGCACCGTGATCTCTATAAAACAAGAGAGTTCAGCCGTTGACAATCTGGTGCCCAGTTACGTGGACAGCACCACTTTCGTAAATTCCCCGAACATGCAACAAACTCAACCGGCACGACAGCAAAGCACATCCCAACAGCACGGGGGGCTTCAGGAGAGCTCTAGGTCTGTTGGGGATGATTGCGAGCCGGTCACGTTGCCCAGTAAGTCCGACGGCAAGTTTTGTTGTGGATGTGTGATTCCTCTTCCCCCATTTTGTAGTGTCGATTTCCTTTTTGTTTTTGTTTGACTCGGAAGGTCTCCATTTGGTTTTGTTGTTTGGTAAACGGTTTTGCGAGGGGGATTTCACTAATGGATCCCGTATACATTAAATTGCCACTTCCGCCAGAAATTACGTTAATAATTACCACCAATTTCCACTAATTACTATTAAATAAATAACAGGTTAGTAACGAAGACTTTTTAAATATACGAAGACAATAACGAAAATATTGGAAGATAAATTGAGGGCTAGAACATTATCATTTTATGTACATTAAAAACCATGGTATGCCCCAATACCTCCAAAATTCTCATATAATCCTCCCAACACACACAATGCTCCACACTGCCTTAGATTCCACCACAATGCTCTTTACACAATACTATTTACAAAACTTCTGGGTTCTTAGAGCGTCTGTTGTGGATGAATCCAACTTGCTACCAAGCATCCTGTTTTCTTCTTTAAAACTTAACTTAAGCTTTTTTGAAAAATTCTCACAATGCACGATAATTCTTTTTCTATTTCATATACCCATCGTCTTTGTTTAAACTTATTTAAAGCCATACAAATGGAAAAGTACATAAGTAAACTGACCAAAACTAACGTGATTAACTCAAAAAAGGCATTTATTTGGTTTCAATTAAATTTGTTAGGTCCATATCATTTGAAATACCGCTAGTCCCGCTGTCGGTGGTTGACAAACTCTCTCTCCAGGGGCGTAGTAGATGAAATTTTTTAAATAAAAATAGGCTCATTACAGCATCTGTCGTGGTATTACGGGATCTGTTGTGGTACTGTCACACCAAGCATAATTTTTCTAAAAATCTTCAACAGGCTACTGTAATACTATTTGCAATTCTTCTGGATGTTGGCTTCTTCACAGCTTGACTGAAACTGGCTCTTATTTTACTCTGTCTGGTGATATATTGTTTACGGAGAGCTAAAGTAGGGGCATAAACATATCGGTGAAAGGTTAAGACCTGAGTTTTGTTGCTTATAGATCTCTATATATTTTATTTATTTATCTAAGGCTTCTTGATGTTCTTTGAGCCTTGTTTGATATTTTTCGCCCGGCCTTTTCGATGTGTTCTTTGCCGCATATGCATGGAATGGTGTAAACTCGTGGTATCTCAAAGGGAATTTTTAGTTTTGCTTTACGTCGAGAAAGAGTTCATCATACCGATAAAGAAATAGACCAAATCGATAAGACACTTCTGTCTCGACATCTTAAAATTACTTCCATCTTCTCCCAATCCGACTTGGATACCCTTTTCACATTTCAAAATTTTAAAAACTAACGTCAACATTAGAGAAACCAACCAGCCAACCAACTGCCAAACACTGTGGTAAATGTATCATCGCACCAACTTTTTTTGACGGAAAAATTGGTTCTTGGAATATATTCCAACTTTATCATTGACTCAAATATTATCTTAAAAGAAGACATCCTTTCAGATATCGAGTCTATCCTAAACAAACTTCAATCTCAAACAACATCTCAGAAAAAATTCGAGATATTCCTGAGGACGGATCCTATCGCCAACTTAAAAAAGACCCTACGTTATGTATGGATGGCGCAATTAAATCTGTTAATGTTTCTCCTCTAACACTCATTCTTCGTTTCTACCAACTCTCCAGGATTCCTTCTTTGACCTATTGTCAGCACCATTGGTTTTGCAAAATATTTAATTTCTATATTAAAACCCTTTACAAGTAATTCTGAAAGGTCTATAAGCAACCAAACAATCTTAACCGCGCTTCAGGTGTTTTCCTTTAACCAATATGGGTATCAGTCATTTAGCTTCTCCTCCCCAAACAACATATAAGCAGGTACAGAGTAGTACGGGAGCCAGGCTCAGTTCAGTTCTGAAGAAGGCAAGAGGATGATTGGCGACATGTCAGTAAGTTTGATTTATTGATTTATAAAGAACATACATCGAAGGAATCCAGAAGATATGTATATAGTACCAAGTATAATTATGCTTGCTTATTGCAATTACAATTCTGTTTTCGATATTTCATGACCGATTTTAAATAGCTTATATTACTTACTTAAAGAAAAACTTCGTAAATCCTTATCCTCTTGAATAATCTTATAAATTGCAGTTAAATAATCGCTATGAACAATTTGTCTGAGTAAAAAAATAAAAATTGCGATCATTTGATTGGCCTACCCCCTTTTTCCTCAGGAGGGATCGGATTTTTAAATTCGCCATTGTTCTGTTCCGCTTTCTTCTTGACGTTAAAAATTATTTTTTCGCTCCCACCACTCAGTTTTGAAGCGCCACTCACAGTTGCATTTAAACTCAACACCAAATGATTTGAAAACTCACAACGGTAAGAAATCGAACTTATGCTATTCACCTTTCATTGCCTATTTTACAAAAAACTTCAAAACATGTTGATTTATATGTATACAAAACGATATTTATCTATGAAACAGCATGACACAAATGTGAACAGGCTTTTTAGTTTTATACGAGGGCTACCTTTTATATTTCGTTATTTGTAATAAAAAACTATAAGCGACCAACAAATATGACTTTACTGTTTCTCAAAATATTCACCCTGACGACCTATAAAACCAACCATCAAAGCACTTTTCCCACATCGAGTCGGGCACCACTAAAACATGCTTTTTAAACTCATCAATCGCTTCTTCTGTGTCAAAAATCGTTGTCCACGTAATTTATTCTTAATGTATGGGGCTAAAAAGAAGCCATCAGGTGCTGAATCAGGACTATACGGTGGATGGCTCATCACGTTGATCACGTCATGACGTTTTCAATGCTCAAAAAGTTCTCTGTTTGCACTGATCGTCGAGAGTTAGTGTGGAGAGCCAGTTGGGTTTTCTAATTTCTTCGAAGTATTTCAGTAAACAAATGGTGGTGTACCATTTAGAATTAACTGTTCTACCATTCACCAAAGAAACAGTTGCAACATGGCCAGTTTTCCCGGAAAAACAGGCTACCATTTGTTTCGAATAACTTCTGTGGGCTTCGTCTCATTCTGAAAGACCCACACAGTCGACTGCTGCTTACTTTTAGGTTCATATGCATAGATCCATGATTCATTACCTGTCACGATATCATAGACGTGTTTGGAAGCAGCGCGATCGTATTTTTTTAACATTCCTTTCGATCAATCAACATGAGCCTTTTTTTAAGCTGATGTTAAACTGTGTGGAATCCAACGCGAACAAATTTTTTTAACGGCCAAATTTTCATGGAAAATTGTATGTATGCTGGTCCCACTAATGCCCAAAGATACCTCAATCTCATGGTAAGTCACATGACGATCCTGCAAAATCAATTTCCGCACTGCATCAATGTTTTCTTGGACAACCACCGATTTTGGACGACCTCGAAAACCAGCATGAAACAGTAGTCCTGGATGGTGCTTTAGCTCCAAAAGTCGAATTAAGTTCATCGATACATTGTTGTTGAGTTAGTCCACGTTTAAAGATGTAAAAAATTGCTGCACGAAAATACTCCCGAGTACCGTCAGCTGAATAAATCTAACCTCAAAATGTCAAACTTCCTTATAAAAACGTTAGTCGCCAGATGGCAGGACTGGTTTAAGAAAATCCCGAAGTATAAAAGGCAGCCCTCGTAATGTTCACTTAACTCTAGCATGTACCCTAACAATTAACATTGCGCAAATATGAATATCAGCACGTTTTGCTTAGCTTTCGGTCCAAGTAAAATCGAACCAGGATCGAACCTAACGGTGTGGGTGTCGTTTTTCAGATCCCAGTCAAATATCGGAACTGTTGTCGAAAACGATATCGGACGCACATACCCGTACATGTTTATACTCGATCGAACACATCCACGAGATGTTCAGGAAACCACACGACTACTCGCGGTTGGTGTACTATAAAAACATGGCGCACGAGGAACTGTGGCTGGACTGCGCGCAGAAACTGACCACAGTCATACAGCAAATCATCGAGTTTGCCAAAATGGTACCTGGATTCATGAAACTGTCGCAAGATGATCAAATCGTCCTGCTCAAAGCCGGTAAGTATTGGTTCTGACAATGAATAACTCAGTTAATATAATACAATATAATAATAGAAATTACCTGCACTGAGGAACAAAAGTTAAATATTAAAAGGGTTTGACCTTAAGTAGGTATTTTATTTGTAGTATTTTTATGTATACAGTGTGCACCGTTGTGTCAGGACAGTAGGCAACTTTATTTTTTTTATATGTAATGCTATGAATATTTTTAAAAATTCTTATTATTCTCTTGATTTTGAGTATTTTTGTCATTACATGGCATACGAAATATTGATTAGTTTTTGCGAAAAATGAACTTGGGCCTTTGAACAAATATGGAGAAAATGTGCAATTAGAAACTAAAATTGGGAATTTTGGATTATTTTTATGAAAATGGTTAACATATCCCTTGGCCTATCTATGGGGAAAATATGTGGTGACCATCAAAAAAATGTTTTTTCTATATATATTTTTTAATGAAACACCCTGAATTTAGCATATTTTTCATTCACTTGAGCTTTAATTACAAAAATTGTTAAATTTTAAAGGCAAACGGAATTCAGTGTTAATTTCAAACATTACAATTCTCTGGGTTCCATTTAGATGCGTCATATTCACTTCTATTACTGACAGAAATGTAATAATTTAAAATGTAATAGTAAAATATAAGCACTGAGATTGACGCAGAATTCGTAAATGGATTTAAAAAAAAAGAACTTGCTATCGAGATCTACTTTTTGACCCGCCCTGTACATTTTCTATTTATTGCAAAAAATGCAAGCATTGGATAAAAATAAATAAATAAATGTAATAATAAAATAAAATAAATAAAACGATAAACATCAAAATAAACATTTTAAAATTTTTTATTACCTCTTACTACGGCGGGTTAAATCAATTTTGACTTAACCATAGTAAATATAAAAATCTTTTAAAAATAAAATATTTTCAAGGAATGTTAATTTGAGTAGTAAGCGCAGTGTTGCCGCATGTCTCGAAAAGATGCGATACGACGAATTTTTAAATGAGACAGTCAATCAAATCTCTTTGGAAGGTTAACAAAGTTACCGCGTTTTGATATCCTTGTCCGTTTTCAATTTTTTAATTTTTCATTAATAATTAGGGTCAGTCAACAAAGCAAAACTAATAAATTACCATCATTTGAGCATTAAATACAGGCTGATCTAAATTAAGTGTCCATCATTGGTAACTCTGTTATGCGTAGAGATACAAAGTCGGTTAAATTAGTGGCTGATTATGGGTGTTGAAAACAGAAAAAACAATTGGATTTTAAGGTTCAGAAAAAAAATGGGGAAAATTGACTCTTTAAACGGAGCACCCTGTATAGTTCGTGCTCTAATGTTCGTTAATCATCGTAAAACAAAACGAAAAAGGTCATGTACAATATTAGCCTAAAATTGAAAATAACCGAATTATCAGCACTTCTCTTTTAGACTAGATGTTTATTTTTATTGTTTGACATCGTTAGTAGGCAGAATCTCCATTTTCAACAAGATGGAGCACCAGCTTATAACTTCGTTTTCCGTTTTCAACAATAATAGGCCACCAGATATAAACCCACTTGATTTTTGCTTCTGCGGTCATTTAAAGGACGAAATTTATAAACAAAGATACCAGCAAGTTAACGCCTTAAAGACTGCAATTAGAGAAAAACTAAACCAGATGAACAATACTAAAGACAATTTGTTCAAAAAAAATTTTCGTTTTTTTTTTCTGTCTTATTTCTATGTTTCTTAGGTTCGAATATTAACGATCGTTGGAGTGAAAAATATACAGCATGTTCCATTTTAAAAGAGTATATGTTCTAAACCCTAAATTGAATTGTTTTTTCTGTTTCCAGCGTCATTACCAATGATAACCGCTTAATTTGGATCACGGGGTATATATTGTTGTTAAAATTTTTCGACGAAGCTCTTAGGGCACATTCAAAAAACATAAAATAATATATGTCGTTTTTTGCAAGCTTTCGTATTTCTTTCAGGGAGCTTTGAACTGGCAATAATACGCATGTCCCGATACTTGGATCTGTCGCATAATTTCGTTCTCTACGGCGACACGATGCTGCCCCAGGACGCGTTCCTCACGTCGGACACGGCCGAAATGAAACTCGTCACGTGCATTTTCGAAGTGTCGAAAAGTCTGGCCGAACTGAAACTGACTGAAACGGAGTTGGCTTTGTATTCCGCGTGCGTGTTGCTATCACCCGGTAAGTTTTGACCGACCCCGTATTTTGTGGGAGCAAGATTTTTTATTAGATTTATTAATGCAAATACTAAGATTAAGCTAACTGTTATCACCTAATCCTAATTAATTTATAAATTATTATTTAAAGTGTAAAACAAATTATTAAGTCAAATTAATTGTAGCAATTATATTATTTAGCGTTCTTTATAAAAACACTCGCAGAAATTCGGGACAAAAATGTTGGTAATTTAAACTGCAATTTCCTGGTAGACACTTTTAACTGCGCCCCCTCAAACAACAGGATGATTGGTGAAAGGTCAGAAAGCTTGATTTATAAACGAGCGACGCAGAAGGAATCCAGAAATTTCTTTGAATAATCATAAACTTGTTGTTTCTCTTGACCTCTTTCAATAGGTCTTCAATTATGTTTCTTTCCTCGACTTTCATTGCTTGAATCTTGTGCTTATAGATTTCTATAGACTTCCGGATTTTTCATTGGTAGAAGAATTGATTACATGCAAGAATTTTAGGTTTATCGAATAAAATTTTATCTCCGGTTTCATTAGTGTGTTCGGCAACAGCTGATGAGTTTATTTGTCTTAGTCGTCAGTTGTCGTTAAATATCAACTAGGCTCAAAGAACATGACAGAGCCTTACGACTAATGAAACCGGAAATTAAATTTTATTCGACAAAATTAAAATTCTTGCATGTAATCAATTCTTCTACCAACGAAAACTCCGAGAGCCTGTAGAAATCTATAAACAACCTAACAATCTTGACCGCGACTCTTACCTGTCACCAATATAGGAATCAGTCATCCGAGACGGTGTTTATGCTCCTTAGTGAGCTCCGCCCCTCTCAAAAAATATATAAGCAGGTACAGAGTGAAATGCGAGCTAGTTTCATTTAAGGTGTAAAGGAGTTAGCAAGTTCGGGTCAACAAAAACCGACGCAGGAGGAATCCAGAAGTTTTATAAAAAATATTACAGAAGTCTGTGGAAGTTTCTTCGAAAAATTAACGATCCATAACATTCCCTAGTTGTGCTTAATTTAATTATAGCAAAATTCCTAGAATTTTGGAAACAACGCTCGTATCATTCATTATGATTAAACATAACTTCGTGTTTACTAAAACATATCGTTCGATTTAGATCGGCCCGGTTTGAAGGGAATACCGGAAATCTCACGGCTCAGTCAGGCTGTCCTCAAAGCTTTAAGACTTGAACTGGACCGAAGTCACAGCATCCCCATTAAAGGGGACGTGACTGTTTGTGCTGCCTTGCTTGCTAAAATACCTACCTTAAGGTAATAGCGTTCTCCGTCACGGTCTGACGACACGTTTCAAGTTTTTCGAATTTTTCCAGAGAAATAAGTATGCTTCACATGGACGCTCTGGGTAAGCTAAAGCGATCCGCTCCACACCTGGACTTTCCGGCTTTACATAAGGAGTTATTCAGCGTGGACAGTTGAAAAATTTCCATGAGGATTCAACTAATGCGGCAGCCCTGTGTAGCTACTGTGAGTATATTTTATTAGGCCATCTGTCTTCTTAGTTCTTAGTTAGAATTGAGCCCATATTTCCACACTCAAATTTAATTTCACAAGAAGCTTTTCAGATATTTTTCCAGCTTTTAGAGGAAATGTTATTGTCAATGTAAAATGCGGGGAAAAGTAAAAAAAACGATAACAATATTTTTCAAATATGTGTCCCTTCACATTTTTTGTTTATATGTCCTTGATTGTATTATTGTATTAGTGAATTTTCTTCAGCTTTTATGTAAAAAAACTGAAAAGTTGAAAAGTAAATAAACCATTTACAAAATTTTGGAAATAAATCTTTGATTGTATTATTATATAGAAAACTGTCAATTTTAAATTTTATTTAAATGTTTGGAAATTGATGAAATTAATCAACTCCGGTAAGACAAACACCAGATATTTTCTCCAACTTTTAAAGGAAATGTTATCATCAATGTAAAAAAGTTGAAAAGTAAAAAAAACATGTACAATATTTTTTAAATAAATCTTTGATTGTATTATTATAAATAAAACTGAAAATTGTAAATTTTATTTAAATGTTTGAAAATTAATCAAATTATGCAACGCCTGTCAGACAAATACCAGACTAACGACAAATAAAGAAGAATTTGAAAGTGTTACATTTCTTCAAAAGGAAAACTTTATTGTTAGCTTTATTGTAAAAAAGTAGTACCCACACAGTACACAAAATAGTATCCTGTAATAATCTCAGAATATACATAAGAAATTATAACACATCCAGGAATACACATTTAACCATTATAAGTATCCACGTACATTCAAGCATGACTCCAGTATGTGTAGGTACCAAATATACACGAGATTCTCACTGTGAAATTTTAGGGGCCAAAAACAAATTTGATTTCGGCATATATTCTTGCAAAATCCTGTACAGTTTAGGACTGTTAGTATACTATTTACACATCTTCTGGATTCCTCCTAAATTTGCTGACGTTTCGCCAATCATCCTGTTGGGTTTTTCAGAGCTTAACAGCTAACAGGATGATTGGCGAAACGTCAGCAAGTCTGATTCATCATTATTATTAATTATTAAAGTACCCTGTGGACGTTTCTTTCAAAAATAACTGTTAATATGCTTTATTGGTCATTGCAGAACCAAAAAGAATGTAAAAATAAACGTTCAAATCTTTTTTTTACTGTAAAAAAACAGTACACATTTTACAAAATTATCCATAGATAATACTGAAAAGTAGTGTTAAGTTCATATTGCACTATTTTTAACTTTGCAATGAGTTGAATTCATATGAAAAGTTCGTAATTCAGTTTTTTATCTTATATGTAAAGAAGTTTCAGAATAGTTATAATAATAACAGTCAAATTTTTTATATAAAATTTCATAATTTTTATTTGAGGAGTATTCTAAAACAAAATCCCAGCATCGATAGTTTGTACCATTATTTAAAAAAAAAACTGTATGAAGAATATTTGAAATTTCGACTCAGATATAGAGCAATTCAATTCAAAATTGTACACTATCGCCCAGGCATTCTCAATGGATAAAAATGTTTTCAATATGGTTACACCAAGAGTTACAGGTATACCGTAGTTTATACTCTCGAATGATAAGTTGTTTCTGATGTCAAAAATATAACAATATAAGTAAATAGACGAATTCCCAAAAAAGGTAACTTTATACAGAAAATTCTGGAATATTTTGTGCAAAAACCATTATAAATGTACATCGAAACTGTATGCCTGGAATTTTCTTCGCTGAACGTTCCCCTGTGTGTTCCATGTTTGATGAATCTCTTATGTACATTTCCCGGAGATATAATGTGGGTAATTAAGAGACAGCCAGAACGCAGATTGATTTCTCTAGGTTCCTAATGTGCTCTAACTGATTTTCGAATTCCATCTAATGCGTTAACACAACTAGAAAGAACTAGGACACAGTCTCATGGTTCATGTCATCGTAATAACTTAAGGTTTCGCGTTCGAATTGGAGTCCTGAGGGACACCTTGAAGATGGGATACAAAAAATTTCTTCCTGTATTAACAGCTCCAGATCAATTTTGATTTTAATATCCATATTTTTGTGTTTTGCGTTGTCTCGTGACCATATAGCTATTAGATTTTATAGAAGGGAATACCATTTCATGCTAAATTCTACACACTAACCTGTACTTTGCGCTATTTTATTAATAATTAGCGATCTCAACCATCAAGTAGAGTTCTACGAACGATATACCGTTTTTACGTCATAATCCGGTATTTAACTTTGGTTCCAGTTCCAGAACCGTACTTCGGTAAACATGTCCATTAATGATGGTTTTGTAATAAAAATCAAAAGATGCCGATTCATAAAACTGACAGCATACTCCGATTGCACTAACCCGCACAAATCAACCAATAACAAGCTGGGAAAACGTCCATTATAATTCAATTATCTTCATAAGATTTTGTATTGCTTTCCTAGGTAAATATTTTATCAATCATAATCAATTATAATCAGTTTAAGGTTTCTAATGTGTTTTTTATATCAATATACCTCAATTAGGAAGATTTATAAAAAGATCACTAATATGAATTAATATAATAGTTTTATCAAAGAAAATTTTCCTACTCTTAAAATACAATAGTCCGCACGACACAGTTCTTGTGGGCTTACGTCTTAAATACGGCCCTGGCTGAAACTCATTCCGAACTCAAAACCATAAAAGGTTTTAAAAACGGTATATCGTTTGGAGAACTCTAGCTCTATGGTTACGACTCACGACCTCCGGTTGTTTCTGTGCACATTTTAATAACATGCTTTTTATGTTTCAGATTCCTTAAAACTGATGTATCGGCCTTACATATATAAATTATAATATAAATTAAATTATAATTTTCGTTATTGTGAAATACTAAGGAAAAAAAATATTGTTGTGAAATAGAAATCGCAGATCTCTCTTTTACTCGATGGCCGTTTAAAAACCGCAACGGACTGTGATAAAGGAGCCAGGCCCTGATTTTAAAAGTACAACTTTCCAATTGTTGTCTGTTAAATATATATGCAGTGAGTTTAATACGGTGCTGAATAGTTGTTTTCAAATTGTCTTATTGCGGTTTTTCAGACGGTGTCGTCTCCACATATCCTCCGGATTATTTTGCGAAGTGTCTTTTTTTTTTCCGGTTCAACCATACAAAGCAAACGAAAACCAAACACCATTGGCGTTACAGACACACTTCACGTAATATTAATTCTGGATATGTGGCTTGTTATATTATAATCTGCCATTTAAAAAGCTACTACACAATTATAATGAAAAAGAAAAAAGTTCTACACTAATGATATATACGTCTGCCAATTCTCAAAATAGTAAAGATTCGAATCGGTTTATAGGTTTTAGAATATGTTTATACATATTATAAATACGTATACTGAATTATAACATATTTATAAAATCACTTTAGTTTTAGACGAGTAAACTAGCTAAAATACAATACAATATAGAGAAGACTGTATGCTTAAATTCGGTTGATCTTTACTATGTTCAGGAGTGGCGGTTTTTTGCGTTTCAGATTTTATTTGGGACACATGGTTTTATAAATGATATATAAAGAGATGTATATGTAAAAAGTATATAATGACATAGAATATAGAGTATTTATAAAAATAGTAAACTACACCTTATCCAATTTGAAAATTCCGCTTGTTCGTTCTTTTCGGTGTGCGATATCCTAAGCAATAACAAACCAGTACCGGAAATTACATAAACGCGTTTTTTGAAATAGCCTCGAGGATGTAGTAGGTATTTTTTTTATCGAAACATAATTAATTGTTGTTTATAACTGGGTGCAATAAAAAATATACTCTTTTACATTGACCCATTGCTGTTTATGCAATTTCTATCGTTAGTTGTACACGAAACATAAACTTTTTTTAGGGTGTCGACTAAAACTAAAACAAACTTTACAAATTTTACAAATAGTTGAAAATATTGAAGCCGTTATTAAAGAAATCTACGCGCATAATACGAACATCACATAATCTGTCGATACCCGTATGAAAGGCTACTTTTGTTATTGCTGTTACACAAAAAACCATGTGAATCAGAAATGTTCAATTTTAAATTGCTAAATTAATAGTTATATAACTTCTGCGATCGTATTTTGCTTTTGGGAATTTTGGAAAACAAAAGATGACCGGATGCGGTCTTTTAATTAGCATATTATCACTTACTGGATAAATATTTCGAAAATATATAAATTTTAAGATTTTAGGGGAACGTGCCCAAAAGCAAAATACGTTGCGGGATGCCCATTTTTTTTTTGTAAAAAATCAGGGTTGGCGGTGGGTAATGGTAATACTATTTTGGTTTTAAACTCAACCGATTAAAAGTTTAAGAAATGTTTAAAACATATTTCTAATGTACCTTTAAAAGATTGTACATTTTTTTCTTTTTATTATTTATTAGACTACTACTGGTGAAAATTTTAGTGTAGATGTTGCTAACATTATTTTTTTGTTTATATATTTTATTTCTGTTGCAAATATTAGATTTTTGTTAATATTTTTGTTATAGCATGATTTTCGCGGTACGATATTTTTGTATTACGGCGTCGTTAGGTATAATATCAGTTCGTGTGGCAGGTTTTGATTATTACAGGTAATAAAGTGCAAGTCGAACACTTATAACAAAAATATTTTCAAATTATTGTTCCCGGCACCAGTAGAAATTATATATATTTTTTTGTATTACTTACATTGACTTTTATTTGATCGAACCCTCATTACCCATTTCTGCTTGCATTCACTATTAAAGAAGAACTTTTAACATTTAGGACACCCTTCGACTACCAACAGGGACTGCAGTTCAGATTCGACTCGGTCATTATTTCTGTATTATAAATAAGGGAATATTAAATAGAGAAAGGGCACATCTTAAAAAAAAAATTTAACTACAGGAGATACGAATAAGGTTTTTAAATTAAAAGTTTTTTCGAGGATAAACATAATTTAAGTTGTGTCAAAAAATATTCTATGATCTGTTTCTATTCTGCTTTTTAGGTTATATAAATTACTGCTCCTTTGCATAATTCACAAGCATTTACTATTTTCAAGCTTTTTTATACTCTTTTTAATATGAAATAAGTACAAAAACCGCAAAAAAAATACCGCTGCGGACAGGACTCGAACCTGTGCGGGCAGAGCCCAATGGATTTCAAGTCCATCTCCTTAACCACTCGGACACCGCAGCTTCACAACATTGTGTGCTTACGAGTGGTTGGAACCCAGCATGTAATAGAAATTGTGAAAATGTGGGTAAAAAATGTTGAAACAGCAAAAGTTTATAGCATTTAAACAGAAATCGAATAGTTCAACTATACCCGTTAGTTAATATATTAACTATGTTAACTAACGACAATCGTTTTAATTTTCTGGACAATTAAATATCCGCGCAAGTTTTATTGGTTGTGCTATAGTAAACAATAGCAGTTCGTGGTGGCTACGAACAAAAAAATTAAGACAAATAAGATTTACCAGCAGATCTGAATCGACATAATACAGAAAACTTAATCGTAGAACTGTATTTTCCCAACGGCTCGTATAGATGGCGCCACAACCGCCTCTGCTACGCACTTTACCTATGGATCGACAAATGTTTGGTTAAATGATGGAATTGTCTGTTTTTTCTTGTAAATTAAAACATTTCGAAGCGACTTTTATAAATTTGAAATATCCTTCACTAAGTCACATTTTAATTTAATCATACTTACTTGATGAAAACCCGTTTAACAAGTTAAATTAGAACAATTTTTTAATGGTTTATGGCAGCAGTTTTGGCAACACTGTGGTATCTAATACATACATTTGTGTTTTTAAATATTTTCCTATGGTGTTTTCAGTTTTAAATGCAATCGTGAGATCACGTTTACAGAGATATATCGAAACTTTCTTCCTAGGTTCTCCTATTTATTTTATTGTTTTAAAAACTTTCGGTTCGAGAGTTTAGAGTGATTTAAAACTGATTTTTAGTTATAATCCTATATATCACAGAGGAAGTAACCATTGTGAAAAACTGTTAGTTCTATAATTAATTCTTTCTAAAAATGTGGTATATTATGTGGATAAAAGAAGGAACGGCAGCCCTTTTGTGTGGGTAAAGATAATGTTGAGTTATAGGGAGTTTGGCACTACTCGCAAATAATCAACATGCAAGTATCTCATTTAAAGCACAGCACAAAAAAAGGAACAAATTGTGTGTGCACCAAATTAAATACCTACCTGGGAGGAACAAACAGTTGAGAAAGCTGGAACATCCTTAAATCCTTACTCCAAAACAAGAAAAGAGAGCTAGTATCTCCCATCACCACAAGTAAATGGGACGATTATTTTGAAAAACTTTTAAAGGAATGTCGAACACAATTCTTAACCTAATAGAATCTGTGAAAGAACTTTACAGAAACTGTTACCTTAAAGTCATAGGGGACTTAAACAAGTATGTTGCTTGTCACCCACTTTGTTTAACATATAAATGGAACAGGCACTATAAATATGGAAGAAAAATGGCAGAAATGGGGCCTAGAAGTAGACATCTCAAAGACGGAGTTCAGGGTGTATCGGCGGAATACAACAAGACCTTGACCTAGAAGACGGAGGGATCATCAAATCTTGTCAAATACCTGGACAGTGGACCTGAATACTCAAGTCAGAAAAGCTATTGCTAAAAAACCACAAGACGAAACAAGCACTTTTTTTTCATTATAAAAAGCATAGTCACATATAGTAATGAAGTTTGGCAAGTCAAAGACTATAAGAACAAAGAGATGGATTTCTGGAGAAGAGTGGCAGGAAGATCGAGACTCGAAAGAACCCCGAACGAAACAATTCGCGCAATCATGAGAGGGGGGTCACACAATAACGGACGAAATAAGAACAAAACAGCTAAGGTGGATTTAGCCGTGTCCAAAGGACATAAGCAAAGGCATAAAGAAGTACTCACTTGGATGCGGGTAGTTTTAAGGGGTCTACTGCTCTTAGAGGGAGACCAAGAACTGTAAGAACGGTTCAGATAAAGGAAGTTGTCATAAATGCCATTGAAAAAAACCCAGAAAGAAAAATTAAATGTTACCCATGTATTAGTATGGCGAATTTTAATAGATCATATGTTATCATATGCAACGAGTCCAAGCCCTTTTGCAAAGGGATTTTCCGCTAAGAGTGGTTTTGTGTAGATTTACACCAAACAAGTTAATGCAAAATCCAAGGTTTTTATCACAAGTGTTTACCGACGAGTCAAGTTTTTCCCGTAACTCAATAATAAACTTCCATAACAATCATGTGTAGGCCGATCATAATCTTCGCGCTGTAATTAAAAACCATTTTCAAGAGAAATTTTCGGTAAATGTTTGGATTAGAGTTATAGGCGATTTCCTTATAGCACCTCACTTTCTGCCTGGCAGACTTACTAGTGAGCAGTACAGACAATTTATTGAACATGTATTACCTGTACTTTTGGAGGATGTCCCGCTAGAGCAAAGACGTTATATGTGGTTTATGCATGACGAAGCTCCACCAGTTTAGTAGCACGTCAGTATTCAGTCGTATCAGTTAGTCACTTTCCTTATATCTATGAACAGACTTTACGCCAAAAAAAAATAATTTTTTACCCTGTATCTTGAAAGATAGGCATTTTTGGACGTATGTTTATATGGAATTTTTGTTTTAAAATCACGCAAGGAATCGTTTCTTAAAGTTTGGTAGCGTATTTTTTTCACACCCTGTATATAGCCATAACTCGGAAGGTATTACGATTTCGAATTTTTGGTTAAATGACTTACTACTATTATTGTACCGCGTTGAACCTTTGCCTTCGAGTTTCCGAACTCAATTTCCGAACACTCTGTATACTAGTTTTTTTTTTGTTTAAAATCTATTCAATAGGTCAAATAAAACGGGCAATTAACTCGGACAGGCCTGCCGGGAGGCAAAACCCGACGAATACCGCGCATGTTATTCCTCCGCGTGATTGGGCCACAACATCATTAATTCGCAGATGATTCGATTCAAAAACGGCACACACGATCTTCGTGGCCTTCTTGTTCTTCTTCTACCTGTTTATTTGCACGGATCACGCGGCAGAACGAAACCGAGGCTTCCCTTAAGAGGTCGCTTGGTGCCAAGAGTCTTGCAAAAGCACGATGATATTTAAAGAAACGGTCCAATTAAATCGGTTACTCTAGCGAGTAATTTTCTTTCGGTCGGTGTTATTTAATCCAATAGTTTTCGCTTTTCTTTGGTCGAGCAATCCCGCCGTCTCCGTCGGGACATGGAATTTTGGAAAATATATTTTTTTGCGGCTTCCGCTGTGTTCGGTTTTGAATTCGTCGAAGTCGACTCTATAAGTATCGAGGGCCAATTGATGGTGATAAGAAATGGTGAGTATTGATAAGTATTTTTCCTTGTTTTTTGATATTACAATTGAAGCAATGTTGGCAGAAATGTTTTTTGTTAACTTTTTGATTTTTGGACTACACGTTTGGGGTTTTCCCACTTCTTTAATTATAATTCTCAGGCATTATTATTTTTATATTTCCTCACTTTGTGCCCCTGTGGAGGAAATAATGTTATACGGTTAGTTGAGATTGGAGAGCAAGATCTTTCTTTAATTCCAAAACTTAAAAAACGAACTTCTAAAAGTGAATATTAAGAGGAAACACCACAAAATTATGTGGGTGGGTGAACAATAGTTTAAAGTTCATTATCTCCTTGGTTTCAAACGTCATGAAAAAATAATAAATAGAAATACGTGGATGCACAATTTAAACTTATTTAAAAGTATTGGGGTGGCTCAAAACACCGTGACGGATTTAACAAGCATTTGTTTAAAGGAAAATTTTGTTTTGAATTCTTCAACATTTATTAATTATAACGCATATCTAAAAATAATAATTTTTCCAATATTTTAATTTTTCTAAAAAAAATACTAGTTTTGGTATTAGCCTTTAGATTTACACAACGGAATTTGAATTAGATGCTACAGGGTGTTAAAAATAAACGAATATATTTGAATCATTTTAAATTGAAAAATCTCGATTTTCTTAAATGGCACACCATATATATTTTTTTTTTTCTGAAAGATCTACCACTTTTAATAAGTCATATAAATATTATTAATACTCTAAGGTTTATTTTAATTTTTCCAATATTTACCCTTCTTTGGGTCTAAGACTATTGCCATAATGTTAGTGAGCCATGACAAAGTGACACTGTCAAAATTTTACCTGACAACTGAGTAAATACATAAAATTAATTGTGGTGTCAGTAAATTAAGAGAAAAACTAAATATGGATTTGCCTAAAGCGGAATTGTTTATAGTGTATTATGCAACAAGTGCGGTAAACCGCATTTGACTCACAAGCTTATTTGATACGAGCGAAGCGAGATTTTAATAAACGAGTGAGTTAGTTAATAAGACCGTTAGTTTTTGGGTACATTTTTGGAAAACAACACGAACACATTCACTGACATGACCGTCAGAATTGACAAACGTCAAAATTCAAAGCGGATTACTCCCAAACCCGTGCGATAAAATCTCGGAAATGTCCGAAGTGGCTGGGATTCGTGGGAAACGAAACTGACGTGGTAAAGTGACGCTTCCCGCACGCTTGATCGGTGGATATATATATATATATATATATATATATATATATATATATATATATATATATATATATATATATATATATATATATATATATATATATATATATATATATATATATATATATATATATATATATATATATATATATATATATATATATATATATATATATATATATATATATGATGACACTATATTAATTTCGCCCGATCGTAGTTGCGATATCCCCGTTGGCTGCTGCGCATCGCTCTGCTGTTTGATTATCGTTCTCCACGTGTTGGATAAATGCAGAGCGTCGTCTCTCGTATTGAGGTGTCCGGACTTTTCTATTTCGATGGCCTCTCGTATAATCCTAGTCCTAAAATCAGGAATATTAGCTATTTGTTTGCAAGTGCCGAAATCAATTTTATGGCCTGTCTGATGTTGGTGCTGAAACAAAGCAGATGTTGTTTGTTTGTTTCTTATGGCTAAACGATGTTCCTCGAGCCTGGCTGAAATCCTTCTGTTGGTCTGTCCCACATACGTCAGGCTGCACGATCCGCATGCTACACTGTATACTCCTTGGCTTTCCAGAGTAATTTTTTGTTTTGGGTTTCTTAGTATTGCTCCGATGGAATGGTCAGGTTTGTATGCCGTTGATATGTCGTGTTTCCGTAATATTCGGCCGATTTTGTCAGTAACCCCCTTGATGTATGGCAGGACAGCGATCGATCTTCGTTGGGTCTCGTCCTGCACTCTCTGCTGCGGCTGTTGTTGTTTACTGATTGCCTTGCTGATGGTGCGCCTTTGGTATCCGTTTTGTCGAAGACAGGTACTAATTTTCTTCAGTTCTTTATCTCTGTTCCTCTCGTTTGTGAGCCTGAAGGACCGAGCAATTAATGTATTTGCCACTGCCTGTATCTGTGATGGGTGGTGATGAGATTTAGCGTTCAGATATCTATTAGTGTGTGTTGGTTTTCTATAGACAGTGTGTTCCAAGTGTCCATCTTCGGTCCTTGTGATGTGCACATCTGAAAAGGGCAGACTGTTATCCTCTTCAATTTCTATTGTAAATTGAATCCTTGGGTGAATGGGATTCAGATGATCTAGGAATTTCAAAAGCTCCTCCTTGCCAAAAGGCCATACAACAAATACGTCATCAACGTATCTTGTCCATAGTTTTGGCTTCAGATTTCCTCCTCCTCCCCGTGGCTCACAACCCGGGGTGGGTCTTAGCCGACTTGACGATGCGCCTCCATTGTTGTCTGTCGTTCATTAGGTCTAGTGCGTTATCGACTTCCATTATTTTTAGGTCCTTCTCGATGTTATCCCTCCAGCGAAGGCGAGGCCGACCTAGTGGTCTTTTTCCTTCGGGTGCCTCTTCCCATGCTAGCTTGGCTATTCGGTTGTCTGGAAGTCTTTTCACATGTCCGGCCCATTGTAGCCTTCTCGCTTTTATTTCGTTGATGATATTGGGGTCTTTGTATAGTTCATAGCTCCCTGTTCTTGCGTATACGATATCTACCGGTTGTTATATCAGTGACCGGCCCATAGATTTTTCTCAGTACTCTCCGTTCAAAAACCCTGATCCGCTCTTCGCTGGCCACTGTAAGTGTCCAAGTCTCGCATCCATACATTATTACGGGTCTTGTTATGGTTTTATATATGGATAGTTTAGTCGTGCGTGTGAGATTTTTTGATTTAAGAAGGTCATGTAGCGCTGATAAACATCTATTACCAGCTTGTATTCTACAATTTATCTCTTCTGACCCATCAGCGTTTTCTGAGAGTGTTGTTCCTAGATATTTGAACTTTTTCACCCGCTCAAAGTTATAGTCACCCATTGTGATGTTTTGTCCAACTCTATCTCTCCTTTGGTTGTTTCTAGTTGTGTACATATATTTAGTTTTCCCTTCGTTGATCTTCAATCCCATATTTAGTGCCTGTTTCTCGAAGTTGGTGAAGGTCTCCTTGACGTTAAGTCTACTACTACCAATCACATCTACATCGTCTGCAAATGCTAGCAGTAGCTTTGGGCCATTATTGCGAAACATTGTGATTGGAGCCTTTATCTCCGCTTTTCTAACCACGTATTCTAAGGAGATGTTGAATAGCAAAGGTGAAATGGCATCGCCCTGCTTGAGGCCGTTGTTGACTTCAAAAATATCTGAGAGTTCTTGCCCGATCCTCACCTTGTTCTTCGCTCCATTGATACAAATTTGTGTTAGGCGTATCAGTTTTTTGGGGAAACCGAGTTCCTCCATAGCTTCCCAAAGTTTTACCCTGCAAACGTTATCGTAAGCTTGTTTGAAGTCCACAAACAGTTGATGTAATTCTTTATTAAATTCCCAGCACTTCTCCATTATTTGCTTAATGGTGAACACCTGATCTATAGTTGACCGGTCTTTTCTGAATCCACACTGATATTCGCCCACTATTTCGTTGGCGTATGGCTTAAGTCTGTCGAGGAGTATGTTGGCTAAGATTTTATATGCGGTGTTCAGCAAAGCTATTCCGCGGTAGTTACCACATATCATTTTGTCCCCTTTTTTGTGTATCGGTACAATTACCCCTTCTTGCCATTCGTTTGGTATTACTTCTGTTCGCCATATTATCTCGATGAGTTTGTGCATAGCCGAGTGCAGTGTTTCTCCCCCCTGCTTCCAACATTCGCTTGGGATCATGTCGCTTCCTGGCGCCTTATTGTTTTTGAGTCTGTAAATCGCTTGTTTGACTTCCTCATAGTTAGGAGTATTGTCTGTGACTTCGGCTGTCTGGAATATTTTAGTTTCTGTGTTTTCTATGCTTTCGGTGTTGAGCAGTTCATGGAAATATTCTCTCCATGTGTTTAGGATTTCTGCTTTATTAGTTATGAGTTGGCCATCTTGATGCTTTAGAGAGTTTGTGGTTCTTGGTTGGTAGCCTTTTTTAAAATCTAATATTCCTTTGAAGTAGGTCCTAGCGTTGTTGTTGCGTCTGTTTTCCTCAATTTCCTTCACCTTTTGTATTTGGAGTTCTTTTTTCTTCTTCTTCATAAGCCTTCTTGCTATTGATCTCGTTCGCTTATATACGTTTATGGTTTCTTCTGTGGTATTTTGCAGCATTATTTGTCTGGACATTTTCCTGTTCTCGATCGCCCTCTTACACTCTTCGTCAAACCATTGTTTCCTTTTCTGTTTGGGCCGCAGGCCTAAGACGTTCTCGTTTGCATTATTCACCGTTTCTTTCAGTTTATTCCAAAATATGTTAGTGTCCTCCTCAATAGCCATTTGATTAATTTGGTTGGTTATCGTCTCTGTGTATCTTGTTCTTGTCTCTTCTTCTTTTAATATTTCTACGTTCCATGTTTTTGTTGGGTTACCCTTTGTGCTCTTGCTACTAGATATTCTAGCTCTAATCTTAGAACTCACCAGTATATGGTCTGTATCTGCATCCGCCCCACGAAGACTTTTAACATCTAAGCAATTACTACTGTGTCTGGAGTCTATTAGTACATGGTCTATTTGGTTTCGTGTTCTACCATCATTAGATATCCATGTCTGTTTGTGTATGTTTTTATGTTCAAAGTAGGTTGACTTGATAAGGAGGTTATATGTTGTGGCGAAGTCTATTAGCCTTAGTCCGTTGTCGTTGCTTTCATCATTAAGGTCTCCTAGGATCATCAGCATGTCATGTCTTGGTACTTTATCCACAATATTTGCCAGCTGTTCATAAAACGTATCTTTTGTCTCTTCATCCTTCTCTTCTGTCGGGGCATGTACCGATATCAAGGTGTAATTATACCAGCGGCCTTTTAGCCTGATCCAACAGAGTCGCTCATTGATTGGGCAAAAATCTATAATGGACTGCACCAATTGTTCCTTTACAACGAATCCCGTTCCATATTCATGTCTATCCTGTTCATTGCCACTGTAGAAAACCACTGATTTGCTGATTTTAACGTTTCCGTTTCCAGTCCATCTAACCTCCTGAACCGCTGTAATATCTAGTCCCCGTGATTCTAGTGTCTCGATAGCATGGGTTGATGCCCCAGGGCGGTACCAGCTGAGGATATTCCATGTTCCTATATTCATATCCTGTTTTCTTAGCCATTGTCGTTTCCTTTTATCCAATCTATTCCGAGGCTTATCGTCCGTTTTCGTAGCAAGGTCTTTTTCCGAGGTGAGGTTGCTAGCCTCACGCTCAACCCTCCTCCTTTATCCGGGCTTGGGACCGGCAGTGACAATTGTGAGCTACTCAGTCCACCCACAACTGCCCCAGGCTTCAGATTTGCCTTCTCTATTGCTTTCTTTTCGAAGTAAATCATGAAGAGGTTCGCAATCACAGGTGAGAGAGATGATCCCATTGCTGCTCCATCTATTTGTCGGTAAATTTTCCCGTTGTGCATAAAGTAAGCGTTTTTCAGGCAATGTCTTGACAGATCCATTATGTATGGCGGAAGATCTTCGTTTTCTTCTATAAGCAAGAGTGCCTCTTCTACTGGAATACTCGGGTAGAGGGATTTGACATCGAAACTTGCCATAATGTCGTAATTGTCCATCCTGAGAGAACCTAAAATCTGAGTGAAATGTTCTGAGTTTTTAACATAGGAATCTGCCTTTTCCACTATAGGCTGAAGTGCACTGGCCAGATGTTTTTCCAGCTTGCATAATGCTCGCGCTCCGAAAACACTTCTATATCTATATATATATATATATATATATATATATATATATATATATATATATATATATATATATATATATATATATATATATATATATATATATATATATATATATATATATATATATAGATAGATAGATAGATAGATAGATAGATATATACTTGTAAAAAATTGTCCTTGACTTCAGCTGTATTAAATCCTGAATTAAAATTCGTTGGCAATTTATTAGTTATAAAATCCCTAAAAGTACTTCTCTCTTCTCTCTCTTTTGTTAAATAGTCCCAGTTGGCCATGACTTTAGGTCGAAACAATAAGCAATATAAGATTTTCGTGCATTTTTGAAAGATCTATCCAACAAAAACAAATTTATCAAAATCGAACCAGTTCTGAAGGCGGACGGACACACTGTATATATATTTTATTCGCTCCGCTCGTGCCAAATAAACTCGTGACTCAAATGCCGTTTACCACACTTGTTGCATAACATACTACAATGATTTACAATAAAATAAGTGTAGAAAAGGGTTGTACCCTACTATATATTATGAACGGTATGTTAGCCTACATTATTTTCTAAATTATTAAAAGTATTAACTAGAAAATACAGTTGAAATATGTTATGAAGACAATTGTAAAAATAAACAGCAGCCTATGTTCTAGATAAGCACAGAACCAAGTCATTTTTTCATTAGTTAGCCACCAAATGGTTGGTTTGTTTTCTGTCTCAAAATAAATTCTTCCTTCGCATTTCCATTATTTTTACTCTATCCAGTTGCTTGTTGAAATCCGAGATTTTATTTACTCTTTTATAAATAGGAGAATGTCTGATTTATTTTGGGTTATTGGGTTGGGTTATTCAATACTGTTTGTTTTTTAAATATCTAAATTGCAAAGTGACGCAAAAAGTTTTATTTTAAACAATTTAAAAAATGTGAAACAAAAATGAAAAGAAATCATAATATAATATTTAAAACGTCGATTGTTACGAAAACTCAGGGAGAATAATCTGTGTGCGCACTTTGATATGGCGCTGAAAATATTTTTGCAACTTTAACCTAATTTAATAATTTACAATGACATATTTTTTCTACTGTCTTCTGCAAAGTACCGAATTAATTTTACAACGCCAGTTTCTTGTGCCACGGATCCGAGCCACTCCGGACATTTCCGGGATTTTACCGCACGGGTTGGGAAGCAATCGGATGTTTTTGCAGATTTTACCGCACGGTTAGAATGTTGACGTTTGTCAATTTTGACATTCATGTCAGTGTATTGTTATTTTGCAAAAATGTACCCAAAAACTTACTTTTTAAGTCACCCATTATTAAACACTTTATTAAACATAACACACACTATTAAACACTCTAGTTTACAACACCTGTTGCATAATAATGTACTACAATAATTTACAATAAAATACTTGTAGAAAAGGGCTGTACCTTACCATATATTATGAAACGTATGTTAGCCTACATTATTTTCTAAATTTTTAAAAGTATTAACTGAAAAATACAATAAAATTAAACAGCAGGCTATGTTGTATATAAGCACAGGCACCAAATGGTTTGTTTTCTGTTTTGTTATCATTTTCTGTATAAAAAATATATTTATATACACATATACGTGAAAGATATACAGGGTCTTCCAAGTTTATAATAAGCATAATAAATGAAAATCTCAAAATAAATTTTACCTTCGCATTTCCACTTTTTTATACTCTATGCAGTTGCTTGTTGAAATCCGAGAACTCACTTGGGTTATTCATTCCTATTTCTTTTTTAAATGCAAAGTGACGCAAAAAGTTTTATTTTAAACAATTTAAAAAATATGAAACAAACAAAAATGAAGAGAAATCATAATATAATATCAACTGTTACAAAACTCAAAGAAAACTAAAAAGTTCAAGGCCAACACTTCACAAACTAAAATGTGACTATGGACTATGACAATCTATTTCTACTAACACACAAGACAAATATTACCAAAAATCGCATCGTACAAAATATTTTGCTTCAAGAGCAGATACTTTTTCAAGTTAATTCATCTGAATTCGTATTCCAGATTGCTACGAACGAATAGCCATTGGAGAAAAACTGGATCCCAAAAAGGTCTACAAAAAATTCGACTACAACACTGTCGCGTTATGTGAAACCGAATGCACCAAGGAAAAGGAAACGTGTAGAGCATACAGTGTCGGGTAAGTTTTGAAGATTTTACTTTTTATTAAACTACTGGAAAACTACTCGAACTAGCTAACGTTTCACCAATCATCCGCTTGGCTTCTTCAGAGCTTGATTGAAACTGGCTCGCTTTTTGCTCTGTACCGGCTTATAAATTGTTTGAGGGGGGCGGAGCTAAATGAGGGGCAGAAACACCGTCTCGGATGACAGACCTAAGTCGCGGTTGCTTATAGATTTCAGATTTTCGGATTTTCCGTTGGTAGAAGATTTGATTACATGCAAGAATTTTAGTTTTATCGAATAAAATTTGATCTCCGGTTTCGTTAATGTGTTCGGCAACCGCTGATGAGTTTATTTGTCTTAGTCTTAACGCTCTTTCATATTCTTTGAGCCTAGTTGATATTTTTCTTCCGGTCTCTCTAATGTATTCTTTGCCGCATATGCATGGAATGCTGTAAACTCCTGGCATCTCAAATGCAGTTTTGTCTTTGACGATTCGAGGATGTTGAGAGATTTTTGGACAAGTTGTAAATACGGCTCTGTAAACAAGAGAGTTGATAATCCATCATTTTTGGGCCGGATGGTAATGCATTAAGGTATCGATCTGTGTGCGTAGGTTTTCTGCAAACACAATGACGGAATGTTAGGTCTGATTTTCTATTGACAAGAATATCTAAGAATGAGAGGTTGTTATAGTTCCTATTTTAATAGTAAAACGTATGTCAGTGTGTATAGAGTTTAAATGTCTAAGAAAATCTACTAGGGATTCCTGACCATGAGGCCGAATAACAAAAGTATCATCGACGTAGCGCTTCCTTAATTTTGGGTTTAGATGGAAGGTGTTGAGAGCTTTCTTCTCAAAGGCTTCCGTCACGATGACAGGTGATTATCTAGAAGCCTTAGCTGTTCCCGACGTTTGTTCAAAAATTTTACCGCTATAAGAAAACTATGTTTCAGACAAGCATTTGTCAATCTTTGAAAAATTACTCAAGATTTATACAGGGTGTCTCGCGGTTGATGGACCTTTTGAGAAAACGGGAGGTAGAAATTTGTCGAAAATTTGAGGTTTTCAATCTCCTTTATCGATTGATCAGAATCGCAATGTTGTTGCTTGTACCAAGATGTAGAGAAAACATTGATTTTTCAAATCGATCTACCAGGTATATTGTTTCTCTGATTTTGATTTTCAAAATATTTTCCTGTATCTACCCCTAGTGCTTTTTTAAGTTCTTATTGCAGGGCTAGTGTTGACCACTCTAGAAAACGTTTGCTTTAATGAAATAAACAGACTGGTTAAATTAACCTTTAGAAACAAAGTAAACATTCAGCAGGAAATAAAAATGATGATGCTAATGAAGACTTAATTAGCAAAATATCCGCTTTAAAATTCGTTGTGAAATTAATTTGACGTACTCATTAGCAGAAGCGCGTCTTGAGACAAAGAAACGAAGAATAAGCTGTGCCCGTCGAATCATCTATATATTAAAAGTTTGACTCATACCGGAAGAGGTCATCAGGAGTTTTTGACCTTGGCGGGAAAAAACGTGGTTACCAGCCGCTTAACGCGTCACGATACTCAAAATGTTATTTTAGTTTATTTTAGCTATTCAAAAAAATACTTTTATTTATTCAAATATCAAATTTATCACCTTATCACACAGGCATTGTCTCTCAAACTAACCAAAATTGCATTACCCTTTATCTGATACTTGTTCTTGCAGAAACCATTTGAAATAACAATTTCCAAAAAAAAATATCGTCTTACCCTATGTCATTTTTACAAAAGCATAAAAAAAGTTAAAAAATAGTAATGACAATGTAAAAAGAAAAAGAACAAAAAAACCTTAACTGTCTGTGTAAGAAAACTTGCACTTGTCGAAAATCAAACCGATTCATACGCACCTACCATGTTAGGAAAACTCCCCAAAACTACCAAACCTAGAATGATGAAATTCAATAACCGGAGGTTTTGGAACATGCAGAATTCAACCAACAGCAGTGTTGTCAGATTTGCCATTTTTACGTTACACGTCATCATTTCGGTATTTTAAATTCAGTGCCCTATTAATTTGTGTTGCAATGAATTGCGCATGCCCAATTTAGTAAGGTCTCATAATTACAAAATTTTGTTTCTATAAATTACTGAGCTACGGCAACACTGTTTTTTCGTAAGAAGAACGTTTAAATATCTTCAAAACTGCCGATAAAAGTCAATACCTGGAGCTTTTGGGACATACAGAATTCAAAGATGCTAACAGCAATGTTGTTCCCTATTTTCAAAAACCGCCAAAGGTGTTAATAATTATATTATCGACATCTGGCAACACTGCAATTATCACTTTTGAATGCTGCATGTTCAAAAACCCTCAAGCATTGAATTTTATCGGTCCAGTTTTAGCAGTTTTAGAGATATTCGAACGTTGTGGTATTTTTTATTAAAAAGGCGGTGTTGCCGTAGCCGTAGAGTAATTAATTATTAATAATAATTAAAATTATGAGAACTAACCAAATTCGAATGCGAAATTTATTTCAACAAAAACAAATAAGGCATTTTACATAATACAATAAAATTATGATGTGTAACGAAAAAGTAAAGGTAAATTTGACAACATTGCAGTTAGCCTTTTTATAAGTTTATCGTTCTTGGCAATTTGGGAGATATTTAAGCGTTCCTTCTTATTTTTTTAAATTACTATTTTTCAGACACTTTGCCATAACATTTACTTCTACACATTGTTATTATGTTCCAAAATATTTTATGCGACATTGTCAAATGGGTAATCGACTATTGCGACTAACGATCTTAATTCTACAGGATCGGTGCGAAAGGAAACGGCACTTGCGAACTAGGAAAAGATCCAGTCAAAGAAACAATCGATCTCAAACCCATCGGTACCATCAAGGATCCCGATTACGACCTTTATATAAAAAAGTTGGATTGTCAAGTGATTATAGAAAAACCGACATTCCACGGGTCCCATTCGTCGCACTCACAACATGATCACCATCAGCAACAACCAGAGGAAACGTATTTGGCGTACTCACAATACGAACCTTCAAGCTCTCAGGTCGTTGAAGGCTTCAAACCTGAAAACGATTTACGTCCGGACGCAGCATCGTATCATCGCAAACCAAATCTCAAACCATCAGAGGGTAAGCGAAATCATGTTCCAGAAATTTTATTATAAATTATAGGCTGCAATGTGCCAGAGATTTGTTGCCTTAAGGCGCTCCCAATCGCTCACCAATAAATAAATAAGTTGAAACCCTCTAACTGCCTTGAAAATTTTTCGAAAGATTTTCGGAAGTGGCCAATTACCATTGTTCATTTTGTTTAGAAGCAAATGAAGTTTAAGTAGGTAGTCAACATCTCACTTCTTCTTCTTCCTTTTTCATTTAAAAATGTTACGAACCTATGAAAAACCTCCTCCTTCTTTTTGATGTACGAGTTCGAAGTTTTTATCTTCCAAAGTTCTCTTACTTTCCAGTCCCCTACTCTCAGATCTCTATCAATCATCGCATGTCCAATGTATGTCTCCCATCTTAATGCAGGCCGTTTTTTTCTTCTCCCTGGAGGTTCCCATTTCAGTACTCGTTTTGCTCACCTATGTTCTGGCATTCTTTGTACGTGACCACACCATTGTAATGCTCTGTTTTCTAATTTCCTTGTTATCGAGCATTCTTTGCAGACATCTTCTCATAAAGTCCAATTCGATCGTTCTCATTTTGTTTCTTATCGTTGTTGTGATTGGCCACGGTTCTGCTCCATATAAGGTGATATTTTGCATTATGCTTTGGAAGATTCTGTCTTTGTTTTCTTTAGTAAGTGAAGTGAAGTAAAGTGCTCTTGTGGCCTGTTTTCCTCGTGTTATTTTTGTCTCTATATCACCTTTAAACATGTACCATTTCCGTGTATTGTCGATCCCAGATACTTTTCTAATCTAAATTTGCAACTTGTTTTCCTATACATAAATATTCGGTTTTAAAATAATAATAAAGGCCTTCATTCAAAAAAGAAGGGCGAGATTCAGTACAACCAAGTTAAATAAATAACTGGAAGTCTGTTCTTACATCTAACCCAGTTCAGAAGATGAACGCAACAGCGAAATTACCATACCTGTTTTAACAAATTCAAAAAAGAAATTACAATAACACGAAAGATAAAAGATAATCACTAAAATAACAATAAAATAATAACAAAGTGACACATACGAACAACAAAGTTTATGGTTACATAATCTGGCGGCAGTAGACAATTATTCAAAAATTATATAAACATAAAAATATGAAATTTGACAACATGGTTATTAAACAGCCCTATTTTCATTGTTCTGAATATAGTTTCTGGGACACTTTTTTCTTATATGTTTATTTTGAAACTGATTCTTTAACTTCAAGATGCAAGTCCCCACAGTTCGTACTTTTCTTTTAGCTTTCTTATCATGTAATCCATATCCTCTTTTTTTGGTCCAAAAACAACTTGATCATCCGCGAAAAGTGGCAATGCAATATTTCCTTGTATCGGTATGCCCATTGTTCCACACTTCTTGTACTAACTCTTTCAAGTTTGTTCTATGCATATATTAAAATGTGTGGGTGATAGCCTGCATCCTTGTTTTAGTCCTTTTGTTATGACTATTGATTTCGTTAATTCGTAGCCTACTTTCATTTGCTCTTTTGTATCATTACATAATTTTTTCACTATATTCATCCATTTTTCTCCAACGTTCATTCCTTTAATGACTTCCCATAATGGTTTCATACACACATCATACACTTTTCCTGCGTCAATTAAAATCAATGTTCTTGGTTTTATTCTTCCTGATGACACTAATTCCTCTATAATTATTGGTTGAATTCTTATTTCCTTGTCTATAGATGGAAGATATGTATGACAAATTCCATTCTCTCGGAATTTCTTCTCCTTTTCGACTTTTATTAAATAATACTTGAATGAAAGATACGACCATTTCTCCGCCATATTTCAACAGCTCCATTTTTATATTTCCTGGCCCAGGTGCTATATGGCATTTTGCCATAAGGCTTTATTTATATTTTCTTGCGTAATTTCAGTTTCACTTATCGTTGTTATCGTTGTTGCTTCGTTGAAATAATATTTTTTAAATGAGAAAACAACTCCTGTCCAGTAGTATGTCTTTTCAGTGGAACAAACTTCAAAAGATCTTCTTTAATCGTAGAATCACTAAAAACCATCCCGACGAACACGGCCATCGGGGCAGTGTCAACCACATCTGTTGATTCATCCAGTTGAAGTGAAAAATAAACACAGTTATCTAAGTCAGTTCTTAACTGTAAAAAAATATCATTGCCCATTACTTCTACACGTCTCATCACTGTATTAGCAGAAAGTTGAATAAATTTTATAGCTGAAACTAAGTTGGCAAATAACGAATCAGCAGCTTCTAAAAACGCCCGTTTTATCATTTCCCCGTCTTCATAAGGTTTCTTTTTTTTGTGCAATTATCTGGGACACACGGTACGATGCTTCAGTTGCAGCCTTATTTTTATCGACCATTCTTAAAACTATTGATTGTTGTCCAATTAACTGCCTTTTTAACTGTTTCAGTTTCAGTTTTATGATGTCTCTCAATATTTCCTTTTTTGGCAACGGAGACCGCAATATTACATAACAAACACACATTTTGACCTTTAACTTCAGTAAAAAAAAAATTGTTCTTCCCATTCCGAATGACTACTGCGTGCCATAATATTATTTTTTATTATTCTCTACTCCAACCGCTCGACGTTGCTTATGCGTTGTTTTAAACTAAACACAATGTCGCCGCGCCGTGCATCAGCTGCAGACCGCTCACCGCGACGTTGCCCCTGTTTATGTTTAATATTATGACAATTAGATTTTTTTGTGGAATTTTGAGGCATCTCTGATTTTTGCAGTTTGCATTTTTAAAATTTGCATAATTATATAATTAAAACCGTTGTGAGAGCTACCAGAATTGCCTCCGCGAGCTACCGACAGTTTGGCGACCGCTGGTTTAGTGTATTAAAGAAGAATTCTTTCCTGTGCTTTGTAAATAATTTACATACAATCAAACGTCTACTGCTTTGTTTGCCAACAGGTTACCATTACGACGCCCCAAATACTAACCCCGATGTACCGGATGATCAGAAAGGAGATACACACCATGTGCAAACCCTGGTGAGCATTGCTTCAGGCCCAAACTCGCAGTTGCACCCCGTGCACGGCATTCTGGTGGCTGGAAGCACTTATTATGGATTGGGTGGTTCCGAATATACCGAAAATAACGTACAAAATTTTTACGGCAATGGATACGGTAACCAGCAAAACTATGGGTACGGGCAAAATGATAGACCTTTTGGTGGACAAAATTATGAACAAGCCAACGGACAATATTACGGGCAAAGCAGCGGCGAAAATTACGTACATGAAGAAAATTATGGCCACAAATATAGTGGTAAGTGATCACGGTACATTTCCTAGAATCAACGCCATGCTTGACCGCTTGTAATCGGTCAAGCGGTCAAGCATGGTACCTTCAAGTAAAAACAAAATTTCGTCTGAAAGTCAGCACGGTTTCAGAACAGGTAGATCAACCCAAACAGCGATCCATTCATTTTTGGAGCATGCTATCAACTATATTGAGTCTGGAGAGCACCCTGCTATATTTTGTGATCTTAGCAGGGCGTTTGACTGTATGAACCACGAAATTCTTTTGAATATGATAGAACAATACGGAATTCGTGGAATATCTCTGAACTGGTTCAGATCGTTCTTAACAAATCGTTGGCAGTATGAGGGGAGAGGGGAACCTGGTGTCAAATTAAAAAATCGCAAGTTCAATCTGTGGATAGAGGTGTACCGCAAGGTACAGTGCTTGGTCCAGTTTTATTTATCCTTTTTATCGATGAAGTTTCTGTTCACCTACCTAGTTTGGGTCTATTAGAGTTCGCTGACTACTGTTCAAGTTAGTATTCTCATTTGTACTGCTAAATAGCTGGTTTAACTCCAACGAACTCTTTTTGAATATCTAAAAAGCATGTGTACTGATATTCAAATGCCCACAAAGCCGTTATCAAACTCTTGATTGGAACCTTCGGCACTGTACTAACCCACAATAACGCGTTTTACCACAAGCCGAAACTCAATTTTACGTATTCGACGCGCGTTTCGCCAACCAAGTTGGCATCTTCAGGAGAAGATTAAAACTAGTTTTGGTTAGTTTGTGTGTCACAAAGCCGTTGAAATAAAAAAGCACGCTAAATTTTTAGGACTAGAGTTCGACGAAACCCTATCTTGGGAAACTGTGACTGGAAAGTGCATGATAAATTTCTACTATGCTTACATCTATTCCAGATTACTCTATGGTATTCCCTTTTGGGGAAATTCAAGTCATGCTGCATCTGTTCTCAAATCCCAAAAAAAGGTGTATTGCTGGAGTGTCGTCGGATAGTTCGTGCAGGCCCCTTTTCCGGGAGTTTAAAGTACTGCCTTTAGCGTGTATACACATATTAGAAGTTTGTTTATGGGCATATAAAAATAAAAATAACATAAAAAACGGAGATTTCCACGACTGTAATACACGATACGATTGTTTCTTTATAAAAAAAATAGACTAGAATTTTCAAAAAAATATTTTACGAACACGCGCGGTATTAGAGTCTAAAATAAACTGTCCCCAGAGCTAAAGGGCAGTAGTAATGTAAACATTTTTAAATCCAAACTAAAGTTTTTCCTCCTAGAAAACTGTTTTTATAATTTAAACGAATATTTTACCTAATAATGTTTGTCGTCACTGGATTGTTGTGCTCTGCCATATATTTCATTTTTAATGCAATTTTCTGCCTCATTTGCATGATCTATATTGACGTACTTGTATTGTATTCTAAATATGTGGGACAATAAAGATATTATTTATTATTATTATTAATAAGGATATAATGGACGAATGCTAGCTCGGAAGTTTATGGTGAATGAGAAGTAGAACCGAGAAATTTAACGACGATCTATGGATATAACATATTATCGGAGATGCGAAGTTGCCACTTCTTCGAAAAAGTAGCATCTTGTACGTTAGTATATCGTTCAGCCATCAATTTCTGGTTATTTTTGTATAATACCTATTCCTTTCATTGTCTCATTGTTTTCATTATGTTTTATTACTTGAATCCATTGAGAGCTGAAATTTTGGCTACAGGGGTGCTTATATTTCCATTTTTTCCGTTCTTGGGATTCTTGTTAGCTCGCAAGATCAACGCTTTCGAGGCCCAGAAAAAACATTTAATTAGGTGCATTCACCCCAGCAAACAAAGAACTGAATATCATTAAACAAATTGCACTGAACAACGGCTACAATCCGTCCATTATAGATAAAATTATAAATAAAAAACAAATGCAGACAACAGTAAACTCTATTTATCCGAAATCTAATACAGAACACGAACAATTTAAAACAATTGCATACATAGGAGAACCTAGTGAAAAAGTTTCAAAACATTTGTAAAAATGTGGTTTAAAAATAGCTTTCAGAACTAAAAACGCAATAGGAAAATATTTAAAAAAACAATAAAACGAAATCTCCAAAATCACAAAAATCAGGTATCTACAGGTTGAAATGCGGATCTTGTCCTAAAATTTATATTCTAGATTCTAATTATGCTACACACTTAAACACAGAAAAACACATTTTTGACGACAATTTTGATATTTTACATACAGACACAAAAAGTTGAAAATTAAATTTATTGTATAGTTTAATGATCAATTAGATTTAAATACCTCTGCTTTATTCAACTTAAATTCTCACAACAACAGTAATTAAGGGTTTATGGTCATTTTTCGGTATATATAGTAGCAAGTAGTTTGTAAATATTACATTTGATAAAGACACGGTGTTGTCGAAACAATTGTCATGTCAAAATATATAATTTCGTGAAAATCTGAATTTTTAGTTCTTATTTATTTAGATTATTTTACATATTATGTAGCCATGAAATCAAATCAATCATTTGCATTGGACGCTGACTGAAATTTTAAGTCAAATGTTCTTATTAATCCTATATCGAAAAATTATCCTATTTCTTACACATAACCAGAATTCTGAAGATATTCGCTAATAACATATATATATATATATATATATATATATATATATATATATATATATATATATATATATATATATATATATATATATATATATATATATATATATATATATATATATATATATATATATATATATATATATATCGTTGAAAGTGATAGACCAACACTGAAAGCTAAACAAGATTTACTGCAACCTGTAACGTAATAAATGTTCTAGTATAATTTAACGCCTTTCCCAGACTTCCATCGGCAGTGCAGAAGATTCCAAAGGATTATCAAAATCGAATTCAATTTTGAGAAACGATTCTGATAATTATCTATCTCGCTTACCATAAAGTCTAACCTTTCATCCACAATTGCTAAACTATATCAAATGAACTCTTATTGAACAACCCTTTTTTAGATATGTCCAATTTCCAATACAAGAGACCTCAGACAAACGTTTATGGCCGACCAAATGGATACGAAATGAGGCCGCCACTGTTGACGCAGGATTCGGGATACGACAGTCAGGGACATCACAGCGAATATTTTCAAATCGATCGTAGGAAATACGATTCTTTCAATCAGCATCAATATGGAGAGGAGTCTCACAGGTGACGGACCATTCGTAGACTTGGTTTATAACTAAAACATTATTGCAAAAGATAATTCAGGCGATTTATGTCGAATTTGAATGGGCCTCTAGTAATATACAAAATGTTTCTATCTGTCAAATAAAGCCAAAATTTACGAAGATACAGAGTGATAAAATTAATTTTATTTTTTTGTTTTTTATTACTTACGATAGGTTAGTTTTGCAAAGAAACTTCTACAGGCTACTATAATACTTTTCACAAAACTTCTGGATTCCTAATGCGTCGGTTTTTGTTGAATCAAACTTACTGACGTTTCGCCACTCACGCTGTTGGCTTCTTCAGAACTTAAGTAAATCTGGCTTGCATTTTACTCTGTAATTGCTTATGTATTGTTTGTGGGAGGCGCCACTATCACCATCTATCACACATCGCGGATATATTTGTGGAAGTCTTTGAAAAGAAAGCTCTCGACACTTTCCATTTAAAACCAAAACTATGGAATCGCTACGTCGATGAAATCTCTAGTAGATATCTAACATAGATTTACCATTGAATTAGAAACTAATAATAACCTCCAATCCTTGGACATTCTTATCAATTGAAAATCAGACCTAACATTGGGTCATTGTGTTTATAGAAAACCTAAGCACACAGACCGATGTTTTAATACATTGTCACATAACCATCCGTCCCAAAAATCGTCGGTTATCAACAGAGCCAAAAAACTATCTAAACAATCAGCCAGAGTCACTGAACCCATAATTAAAACAGCTTACCTCTGCTCTTCTCGCTAATAATTTCCACATTAAAGATATTAAGCGTTCCATCAGAAAATACACTTCAACACAACCATCCAATAGCAATGAGGCCGAAAGCAATCCCATGCCCTTGCCACTCTTGTCCTTCCTTACATTCAAAACATCACTGACCACATATCAAAACTTCTAACGAAATATAACGTCAAAACCAGATTTACCACTTGTCCAAAAATCTCTCAACATCTTCGGTCCGTCAAAGACAAAATTCCATTTGAGATGCCAGGAGTTTACAGCATTCCATGCATATGCGGCAAAGAATACATTGGAGAAACCGGACGACAAATATCAACTAGGCTCAAAGAACATGAACAACCTAACAATCTTAACCGCGACTCAGGTGTTTCACCAATTTGGGAATCAGTCGTCCGAAACGGTGTTTATGCCCCTCATTTAGCTCCGCTCCCTCAAACAATATATAAGCGGGTACAGAGTAGAATGGGAACCAGTTTCAGTTAAATCCTGAAGATGTCAACAAGATAATTGCCGAAACAAATTCGACTAAACAAAAACCGACGCAGGAGGAATGAAAAGTAGTCTTTAACGAAGGTTGGCGATCCAAATAGCTATTGTCGCGTTCTATAGACGCCTAGTAATAACCGACTATTAATTTATATTTATTAACAGTTGCGAGTGAATATCGAAAAAGAAAGAAGACTTTTAGAGTCAAAAACAAAATCCGTTTCCGTTACTAATTTGTTTTTTTTTTTAAACATAATTGTAATCAAATGAAATTTAATTTAATTAACTAACTTAATAATTATTACAAAAACAAAAACCTAAAGTGGACGTTCCACGTGATCACCATTCACTTCGGGCCTTTGTAAAACAAACAAAGCAGAAATCCATTGGATTAAAATTTTGACTACGAGCCGATCATCTAAGATACATACATACATACCTTTTCTGTCAAAACCATTTATGAGAAAAGTTAAGTTTCTTACAATTAGCTCAAAATGTAATCATGTCATTTCTTAGAGCCAAAATAAAGTTGTATCACCCTGCCCAGTATACTAGCAACCGAAACATAGACCGGTTGGCATTAGAAGAAAGCTCCATCTTTCTCAAACATTTTTTCTTCATTTACTTCATTATAGGTAGGTTAACATTAGAAGAAAGCTCCATCTTTCGCAAACATTTTTTCTTCAATTACTTCATTATAGGTAGGTTAACATTAGAAGAAAGCTCCATCTTTCGCAAACATTTTTTCTTCAATTACTTCATTATAGGTAGGTTAACATTAGAAGAAAGCTCCATCTTTCGCAAACATTTTTTCTTCAATTACTTCATTATAGGTAGGTTAACATTAGAAGAAAGCTCCATCTTTCGCAAACATTTTTTCTTCAATTACTTCATTATAGGTAGGTTAACATTAGAAGAAAGCTCCATCTTTCGCAAACATTTTTTCTTCAATTACTTCATTATAGGTAGGTTAACATTAGAAGAAAGCTCCATCTTTCGCAAACATTTTTTCTTCATTTACTTCATTATAGGTAGGTTAACATTAGAAGAAAGCTCCATCTTTCGCAAACATTTTTTCTTCATTTACTTCATTATAGGTAGGTTAACATTAGAAGAAAGCTCCATCTTTCGCAAACATTTTTTCTTCATTTACTTCATTATAGGTAGGTTAACATTAGAAGAAAGCTCCATCTTTCGCAAACATTTTTTCTTCATTTACTTCATTATAGGTAGGTTAACATTAGAAGAAAGCTCCATCTTTCGCAAACATTTTTTCTTCATTTACTTCATTATAGGTAGGTTAACATTAGAAGAAAGCTTCATCTTTCGCAAACATTTTTTCTTCATTTAATTCATTATCTCTGTTATTAATCAATGTACCAATATCGAGTACATTATTTGTTATCTGTATAGTCTTTGCTCTCTTTGATCAATGAAAACAAAATTAACGGGTTACTTTTTTAAATAAAGTAATTATAATGTTAGGATTACATGCGAGTTTATTAAAGACAATTTTTTTTGAAACGAGTGAAACTATGACACATGAGACGAAACAAAAAACAAAAACTGCCTCGGCATACCGGAAATAAAATTTTGAATTGCATCTACGGGACCGAGACTTCGAACCTTTTTTTTAGCACATCCCATAGATGCTCTGACAACTTAGTAAGAAAACAGAGGTAAGAAAGGAATGGATGACAACTGAAATATTAGGTCTCATGGATGAGAGAAGAACATACAGAAACAAAGATCAACAAAAATACCGATATCTACAAAGCAAGATCAGAAGTAAAATTAGGGAAGCCAAAGAAAACTGGCACAGGGAAAAGTGTGAGGAAATCGAGAAATTACAAAGTAAACATGATGGTTTCAATGCGCACAAGAGAATTAAAGAGTTAACCAACAAACGCAATTACAATAACAACTTGCTGGTGGATGAAAATGGAGATATTATTATGGACACAAAAGAAAAATTGAAAGTATGGAAAAACTATGTAGAACAACTGTACGAAGATCAGCGAGATGAAGAAAGTAGTGAGTATGTATGTGATGATATTGGACCAGAAATAACGAAGGACGAAGTAGAACACATCATCAAGGAAATGAAAACCGGGAAAGCTACGGGACTGGATGAAATACCAGCAGAAGTTCTTAAACTCATTGACAATCATAACATACATCTTCTAACACATCTCTTCAACAGTGTATACAAAACTGGAATTTTACCGAAAGAGTGGCTACAATCAACATTTATAACTATCCCCAAAAAGACCAACGCAAGACAGTGCTCGGACCATCGTACCATCAGCTTAATGTGTCACATACTTAAGGTACTTCTGAAAATCATCCATCGCAGAATATATAAAAAGTTAGAAATAGATATTGAGGATACGCAGTTCGGTTTTAGGAATGGACTAGGGACTAGAGAAGCACTGTTTGCCTTCAACGTATTAACGCAGCGGTGCTTAGATGTAAATCAGGATGTGTACGTTTGTTTTCTGGACTACAATAAGGCATTTGACACCGTCCAACATAAAACACTCATAAGACTGCTTAAAAGTAAAAACATTGACTCTAGAGACATAAGAATAATAAATAATTTGTATTACCAACAAGAGGCCGTGATAAGGGTACACAATGAGGTGACAGACAGAATAAAAATAAAAAGAGGTGTTAGACAGGGATGTGTCTTATCACCATCTCTGTTCAACCTATACTCCGAAGAAATATTTAAGAGAGCACTCCAAGATGAAACAGCTGGAGTAAAGATTAATGGCTTACCCGTTTGTAATATTAGATATGCCGATGACACCGCGCTAATAGCAGAAAATATGGATGATCTACAGAGAATTACGAACAAAATTGTAGAAGTAAGCGAAGAGTTTGGGCTATCACTCAATACAAAGAAAACTAAATTTATGATAATTACAAAAAAATCTATTATAAATACAAACCTTTATATAAAGAATGAACAGATAGAACAAGTAAGGAATTATAATTATCTGGGGACGAACATTAACGAGACAAATGACTATTCCAAAGAAATCAGAATAAGAATAGAAAAGTCCAGAAGTGCTTTTAATAATATGAGGAAATTGTTGTGCAGCAGGGATTTGAGCTTAAGTTTGAGAGTGAGGATGCTTAAATGCTATGTTTTCTCGGTCCTCTTGTATGGCGTGGAGGCCTGGACTTTGAATAAACAATGCCTGAATAAACTAGAAGCTTTTGAGATGTGGACGTACCGAAGAATTTTAAGGATATCCTGGACGGACAGAATGACAAACGAACAAGTACTTGTGAGGATGGACAAGCAACGTGAAATAATGGATACGGTCAAAATAAGAAAATTGCAGTATCTGGGGCATATTACACGCGGAGAAAAATATAAATTGCTACAACTGATTATGCAAGGTAAAATCCAAGGTAAACGGAGTATCGGAAGGAGAAGGATGTCATGGTTGCGTAATCTGAGAGAATGGTTTGGATGTAACTCCAACCAATTGTTTCGTGCTGCAGTCTCAAGGATACGAATTGCATTGATGATTGCCAACCTTCGCAGCGGAGATGGCACGTGAAGAAGAAGAAGATAGATGCTCTATGGGATTTAAATCGGGACTGTGAGGTGGCCATTTCATCAATGGAATATCTACAGAGTTATTGTAATCTATAACTTGTATGACCACGTGGGCACGAACAAAAAGCAACAAACGGCATTACATGTTCAATTCCATCGTTTTGGTCCTTGTCCTGGCCTTCGAGAGTAAGATTCTGCCTTGTTAAATCGTTCAACCATAGGACTTATTGTCTTCCTATCACATTAACAACATGACGCACTAAATGGCCCTCATCCGCTAAAGTTAAAGCTCTTACTGCTGGACAAATGAACAAAGTGAAAGGACGTTTAATAAGCGCAATTTCCAAACAGTTTTCACCAGTATGGTAAATTTCATCGGACCTTTCTAAATTTAAAACACAACATCTGTTGACAAATCGCTTGAAATGTCAGAAAAATTCCAGAGCCTACTTGAAATCATTTAAACAATGAATGTGATGTATCTCCTTGACTAACAAAGATAATAAAGGAAACCGAAAACGGAAATGTTGGCCAAAAATGGAGCTACCTTCTCGTGTCAACACGTTTCGGTTGCTTGTACTCCACAGGGTGATACGATTTTTGGAAAAATGCATAACATTTTTATCACATTCGGTATAAACCGAAAATGAACTTTTTATCATTATCATTATAGTCAAGGAACCAATGCACAAAAAGCCATTGAAATAAGATCGTAAATTCAGAAAAAACTAACCAAAACAGCAAAAAAATCATTTTGTCCAGGAGTAGATGAACTCATGTTGTGAGAAAGTTCTACAAACAGTGCAAACTAATATACAAAATAATCTATAAGCTTTAGCTTAGCGCTCAACCGTGCAAACAATTCAATAGATTACCCCAGAATGTTAGGAACATAGATTCATGTGACTTGTGCAGAAGAATAATTAAAACACGGTTTTCCTAGAGCAACAAAATCTTTTAAAATTAATTAACTTACATAGTTTGCTTACTGCTTTATCATTGCTTAGAAGTTGCTCCATTCAGGGCACAAATATTTATCTGTCTTTTGTTGTTAAAGCAATAATTGTTGCTAAAGTAATAATTGTAATTTTTTTGTTATCCTATTGAAGTCTGAATAAAGCATTGAAAAAATTTAAAAACATCGCTGCATCAAGATCTGGGGGTAATCATCATAGTACATAATTATTAACTATGCCTGTCCACACGTTTATCTTGAATTAATGCTAGAATTGTCTTGGTCATATCAAACGACGATTTACTCATAAAAAATTAAAAATACCTCTAGGGGTAAAAGTATAAGAATAAGAGTGGTCGCCAGTTGGGCTTTAAAAAAAAGACTATGATAGAAAACATTAAAAGTAATGAATCATATTTTTGTAAAATATAGAATAATAAAAGTATCTATCTCTATTTCCAGCTCTTATATGTAATTTTGTTAAAATTTAAAATTATGTATCTGAACGAAAATATATTCCTTTTAAAATGGTCAAAACATTATATATGCTCATGACATTAGCAGAGGAAACGGGATATACTCTCTTACGACCCCCACCACATATTGTGTCTTCAAGGCTATAGAGCACATATGACACCAACTAAATTCGGGCATTAGGTCACAAAATTATTCCCCCACTTAAAGTGGTCTAATAAAATTAATGGGATGCCCTCGGATCATTTTAAAATTTAAGTTAGACATGTTGCTACTCACTAAAATTATTATAATATTTTCAATTATACTTTTAGGCCCATTATAAGAGACAGAACTTCAAATATCGAATTATTCAATTCAATTTGATTAATTATTTATAAGAAAATACAAGTATTTCTATAAAAAGGATCTCCCTTGCAACTGGAGTGTGTAAAAGTAACTATACATAAAACGTGTCTAAACTTTCTGGCCAAGTTATTTAGGATAGGCACCAATAGACTCCCAAGGCAGTGCTCGATTGCCAATTAAAATTGTGACTTGTGATCTCGAACTTTCCTATCTTTGTACAAGTATTCTAAACCGCATTTTGCCTATAACATCGACAAAAGGGAGCAATTATGTCAGATGGAGGTACCCCAGGATTAATCTAACGATTTTGCCGTCGGACTGCAGCTATTCTATTGTTACTGGAATAAATACTTGAAGCTTTTCTTCCTCTAAGTAACCCATTTTGCTAACTGGGTGTTTCATTTAAAAATAAAAAACCTCTCTTTCTCTGTTTCTCAAATTTGCGATGGACATTTTTTTTAGTCTACAAGTCTAGAAGATAATAGTGCTAAAATTATACAAGTTTTGGTTAGTTTTTATACAAGTTTTGTATTAAAAGTTTTTCTCGGTACCTAATCATAAAAAATAACCAAATCATCTTTCAAAAAATAAATTCCTATTATTCCATTATTCCCATCCTTACCCATAACCTTCGTATAATACCAACTAACCGACTACATGAAGAATCAAAATTATGCAAAAAGAAATGTTATTTTGAAAAAATATATAGTACGAGCTAGTGCCTAAGTTTTGAAAAAAAAACGTCATATATTAGATATATAAAAAACTGTAGAATTCTGAGCTCAAAATATTAAGATAAATTTATTCCACTGCGTTCAACATTTTAACACAAATTGTAATTTTCGAACCATTTTAAAAGTTGAACTGAGGTGACTTTTACTTGATGAAAATCCATTTAACACAATAAATATGAACTAAAAGTTCAGATTTTCACGAAATTATATATTATGACCTGACAATTGTTTCGACAACACCATGTCTTTATCAAATGTAATATATACAAACTACCTGCTACCTATACCGAAAAATGACCATAAAAGCCTAATTAATGTTGTTGTGAGAATTTAAGTTCAATAAAGGAGAGGTACTTAAATCTAATTGATCGTTAAGCAATACATTTGAATGTCTCATTTTGTTAATCTCAATGGCTTCCAATAAATTTAAATTTCTAATTTTTGTGGCTGTATGTAAAATATCAAAATTGTCGTCAAAAATCTGTTTTTCTGTGTTTAAGTGTGTAGCATAATTAGAATCTAGGCTATTGTTTTTAAACGCTCTTTTATGTTGGTTAATGCGTTTCAACCTGTAGACACCTGATTTTTGGGATTCTTGACATTTCATTTTATTGTTTTTTAAATATTTTCCTATTGTGTTGTTAGTTCTGAAAGCTATTTTTAAATCACATTTTGACAAATGTTTTGAAACTTTTTCTCTAGGTTATCCTATGTATGCAATTGTTTTAAATTGTTCGTGTTCTATATTAGGTTTCGGATAAATACAGTTTACTGTTGTCTGTATTTGTTTTTTATTTATAATTTTATCGATAATGGACGGATTGTAGCCGTTGTTCAGTGCAATTTGTTTAATGATGTTAAGTTCTTTGTTATAATTTTCTGTTGAGAGTGGCGTATTAAGAAGTCTGTGTATAAAAGAGTTAAATGCAGTCATTTTGTGTGTATAAGTGTGATTTGAGTGATTGTGTGTATAATGTAAGGTGTATAACTGTGTCCGTGTGCTACACAGTTAAACACAGAAAAACACGTTGACAACAATTTTGATATTTTACATACAGCCACAAAAAGTAGAAAATTAAGTTTATTGGAAACCATGGAGATTAACAAAATGAGACAATCAAATGTATTGCTTAACGATCAATTAAATTTAAATACCTCTCCTTTATTAAACTTAAATTCTCACAACATTAATTAAGGTTTTATGGTCATTTTTCGGTATATATAGTGGCAGGTAGTTTTTAAATATTACATTTGATAAAGACACGGTGTTGTCGAAACAATTGTCATGTCAAAATATATAATTTCGTGAAAATCTGAACTTTTAGTTCTTATTTATTTTGATAAATGGATTTTCATCAAGTAAAAGCCACCTCAGTTCAATACTTATTTGGATTTCCACTGCTATTATTTTAATGATATCTCAATCCAGTATGGCTATGTTGCCGTCATTGGTCGTGCCATATCCTACTTTCACAACATCAACAAGTAATTCCATTATTCTCAGAACCGATTTAAGAAGAATACGTTAAGTGCAGGATACTGTGTGAAATTTAGGGACATGCGCTGTTTTATCTGAGTTTTACCTAATTATAATGAGTATATACTTACGCATGCAAACAATGAACATTACAGATTCAGACAGAATTATAACCTAAATATTCCAAAACATAAATTAAGTTCGGTAGCAAATAGCTCAATCGTCCTTCCTATAAAACTTTTTAATAAATTACCCCCTGGGACGAGACGGATTTCGGGCTGCGGTCAGTTTAAGGCTGGGGTGAAACGATTGCTTATCTAGAAGCCATTTTATTCTGTACAAGAGTACCTGCAGTGCACTTGTTAATTCGTGTTTTAACCAACGTTTGTCCATTTCAACTTGTATTTGTTTTTATAACTCTACGTGTTATTATTATTATTATTATTATTATTATTGTTATTATCTGGTGCATTGAGGAGTATTAATTGTATGGTATTATGGCGTTTCAGATTTGGGGAGTGGCCTCCAAGAAGGTATCGACCCGAAGTGAGCTACAATAATTATTACGACAGGCCGCTGGAGCAAGCGCCTACAAGATATGGTTCCGTTATTCCCCATCCCAACGAATACGGCTACTTGTTCGGGTACAATATTGATGGGTCACCACAACCTTCAACTACCACCGATAGAGGAGCTACAAAACCGGAAACACCCCCTCACGGGGCCAATTCGGAGAAGAAACCGGAAGACAGTACGGGTTCGGAAGAAGCTCAGAAAGATTCCGGGCAGAACCAACCCATTGGTGTTCCAGAAAGTGGAGATTATAAGCCGATAGTCACTCAAACTACGGGAAGCAACGGCCAGCATATTACGTCCATAATCACTGAGCTGAGAGACGATAAAGGCAAATATTTTTAAACATATTTTTATTATACAGGGCGATAAAACACGCACTTTAAAAAGTTAAAGTCTACAACCTGTATACTGAAACCAAAACGTTCAAATGGAAAGCGACACACAGTAGTTCATATTATAGGGTGGTCCGTTTATCTTGGGACATCACCTTATCTCGGAAACTATAGGGGATGGAGCCAAAAGTTAATGTTACTTTTTACAAAACCTCCTGCGCCTGTTTTTGCTGAGTTGAACTTGCTGACGTTTCGCCAATCATCCTGTTGGCTTCTTCAGAGCTTGACTGAAACTGGCTCGTATTTTCCTCTGTACCTGCTTTTATATTGTTTGAGGGCGGCGGAGCTAAATGAGGGTCATAAACACCCTCTCGGATGACTGATTCCCACATTGGTGACAGGTAGAGACCTCAGTCGCGGTTAAGATTGTTAGGTTGTTTATAAAATTCTATAGACACTCCGATTTTTCGTTGGTAGAATGAATTTTAGTTCGGCAACAGCTGATGAGTTTATTTGCCTTAGTCGTAAGGCTCTTTGGTGGTCACCGACCGAAGATGTTAAGAGATTTTTGGACAAGTGGTAAATCTGGTTTTAACGTTATACTTCTTTAGATCTTTTGATATGTCGTCAGTGATGTTTTGAATGTAAGGAAGGACCACAGTGGCAAGTGCAGGATTGCTTTCGGCTTCATTGCTATTGAAAGGTTGAATTTTTTTGATGGAACGCTTAATATCTTTAATGTGGGGATTATAAGAGAGAAGAGCCGAGGTTAACGACTTGAGAAGGTTTGGTTCCAGATTCTCGGACTTTAATATATCTGAAATGATGTCGATAGTTTCAAGAATAGGAACTTTGTTAAAGAGGGATTCTACGTCGAAACTAACTAGAATATCTTGTGTATCTCATGTAATGCTTTTTAATGGTTCAATGAAGTGAAAGGAATTAAGTACGAAACTGTCAGTTTTCCCTGCAAGGGGTTTTAATAAGGAAGCAGATATCTTGCTGGAGAATATGAACTTTGAAGTTCGACGAGAAGAAGTGAAAGACACTTTATACAGGGTGCATGCACAATAAAATTATAACGATTTTGCGAAAGTGGTTCGCAGGAGCAAGATAAAAAAATAATGCGTCCTTGAAGGACAAACACCCCGATTGGCTTCTTTTTAAAATAAAAATGTGGTCCGTGCTACATTCTACGAAGTTGCCCCGCCCACCGACGATTTTTCGAAAGAAATCTTGTTTTTTTTTTCAACCAAACTTAACTTCCCTTAACCGCATGCCTACTTAAAAAATCAAATATAAAAGTTAGCTGCAATCAAGCAATAAATTGACTGTTTAACAGTGTGAAAAGTTCCATGGGAATCCTCGGAAATCGTATTATAAACTCTTTCTAACTTCTATTCATTCTTTCAATATCTATATTATCCATTGTACACACTTTATTTATACACACTCCACGTTTTTGCTAAAATGTACGTCACTTTTTCTGATTCATTTCAATCTACTTTTATGATTTGGTACACTTCGGTATTTCAACTTTATGATAGTACAATTTTCCAGTATTGCAATTAAACCAGTTTGTTGATTTATGTCAATGAGCCAATGTGTGACATAAGGAATGTAAAATTATTTTGGCCAAAAGAATATACCGTGAAATAGGGAACAAACTCAATTAAAAATCGCGCAGATCCACCATGACTTTTTTTTGCGCATTATTTGCGATAAGTGGTAAATATACGGCGTGTGTCAAATTGTAGAAGTCGATGCCAAGTTCCCTTTTTTTAATGAAACGACATTATTTTTCAATCAATTTTCAAATTCTGCTTCAAATTTCAGTGTAAATTTATGTAGCACACCACATATATATATTGCTTACTTTTTGTAAGCAAAGAATAAAAAACAGAATTCTAATTCAATGAACAGATAACTTCTTTCACAAAGTTTAGAATTTGACACTTATCTAAGGAAGATTATTGAAAACATCCTGAGTTATGTTTTGCTAATAAAATAATTTCTTTGACATGCCCCGCTCCTATAAATTTTCTCTCAAACTTTGTGTGGTTTTCTAAATTTTACATGCGTATAAATGATCCCTCGGATCCAGAGACATCGCTAACGTCGAGTCTGCCCCTATTTTATTTCTCTTCCACATGACGTCACTGTGAGCTTATCGTAAAAGCACTATACGGTAAATTCAAAATTTTATGCCAATTATTTTTCAATTTGTTTTAAGACTCCTTGTCGATCTCCGAAACGTAAGAATACTGAAACACACCCATTCATATTCGTAACGGTGAAACCTTTGCTTTGGCAAATGTTTTTCACGCGGAGAGCTACAAATAATAGACGACGTTATAAGTTTCCCACAACATAAATCATACGCATACATTAGTTATGCGTATTAGCAACAATTTGTGACCATTGTTGTAGGATTGGTATGGTGCGGTAGCCTTCAGGTGTCACTTTTATAACGCCGTAACAAAATGCTGCCCAGATGTGTATCTCTAAATTGTGACGCAACGTCCCATATATCGCCTCATAAATTTTACGATTTTTTGCGTCACTCAACAAACATAAAGAACAAACATTCGGTAGGTTTTTTTTCAGCTCTTATTGTGTCTCGTAGCGTAAATATCAATACAAAACGTTTTAATATTCGAGACCAGTTTTAGGACAGCCCTCGTATATTATTAGTTTTTGTATTACGGAAGATGGACTTTTACTTCCAAGAAAAAAAAATCCAACGATTCCAATTTCAAAAATTCGCTTAAAAGACTGGTGGAGTTGGTTCCCACATCTAATGGGATAAAACGGACAGACTATATTACGTCGATAATGGAAATTGATAATAAAACTTATATCAAATAATTTCAGGCGTAATTGCATTTTTTTAAATAATGTCCCTTAAAATCCGAACATCCTGTCGGCGATACACGATTAAGTGAGTCAAGTTGGGGCTTCAAGGAAACAGAAACGAAGAAACATAATTGTCCAATTTAATCAGAGTTAACCTTCGTAGTGTTCAGTTTTTTTTGCCCGTTTCTGTTCTTTTTTTTAACTGTGACGGGATGATTGCAACCGGAGGTGTCATTAAATGAAAATTCATGCACAATTAAACCGATATCTTGCATAATATTAGGTCGTCTTGTTATGTTATGGCATAACATATTCAAATATTGTTTGCTAATTACTGAAAAAGTGTCGGAAATGAGATACTTCGTACATTTTATATGATTTTTTTGAATATCACAGCAAGAGTTTCTGGCCTACTTGATCATTGAAGTCTCCAAATAAATCTTCCAAATTCCAAAAAAAAACTATAAATAACTATATATAACTATAAACTATAAAAACTATAATAATCAGTTTTGTAAATACAGCGTGAGAAACGATAGGAAAAAGTCCGTTATCCCATTGGATTCAAAAGTTCAGAAAATGGTAAATACAAACGTTATAAAGAATTCACAATAAAACATACATTGTTTAATTTTTTTTTTCAATTTTTTTTTCCAATAATTACCAATAATTACCCTTCTTTCTGTATAAGACTATTGCTATAACGTTCATTGTGCATGATAAAACGACAATGAATTAAAAAAAAACAAAATAAAGATTTAAGAAGCAGAAAAATGTTTTACACATTACATCCATTATTATTCAACACTCAGATAGATCTAGGCTCTTAAAATTTTTTGCGGCATGATTTACCTCAACATCTGTAAGAAGTTGTAAACAACTGTAGTTTCTGCAAGATGGATCTGATGGATGGATCATGTGACTTAAGACCACTAGATTTCTTGTTGTGGGGATATGTTAAAGATCGTGTTTATGAGAATCCGCAGAAAATATGTAAAATAGGATTCGGGACGGGTCTAATCTAAGACTCCAACCAAGTTCATTCTCTTGTCCATGTTAATCTTCACAGAGCCGTTTGTTCTAATACTTCTGTCATTGCCAACTAATATTATAGCAATAGTCTTAGACAAAGTGTGGAATAATAAATAATCGTGAGATCGAGAGTTTTCGATTAAAGATGTTCCAGATATATTCGTTTATTTTGAACACCCTGTAGCATCTAATTCATATTCCGTTACGTATATCTTTTACGCCATTGTCGAGTAATGTTAATAACAAATATGAGTGATTCAAATATTGAGGGAAAACTATTAGGTTTAGGTATGTATTATTATTAATAATAAAAAAAGTTGAAGAATTTCAACACGAATTAAATTATTTTGAGCTTCCCTGTACACTTCTAAATAAGTTTTAATACAACTTTAAAATCTTAACTGAATGAACTTTTTCTTATCTGTAAAATACCTAATTATACGCCATTCTAGGGTGCGGAAAGTGCCATTTTACCACGTCAGTTTCCCATGGATCCGAACCACTTCGGGCATTTCCGGGATATTACCGCACGGGTTTGGGGACAATCGGATGAATTTTGACGATTGTCGATTCTGACGGTCGTGTCAGTGAATGTATTCGTGTTGTTTTGTAATAATGCACCCGAATACTAACGGTCATCGAAAAAGTATAGTATGTAACTCGCTCCGCTCGTGCCAAATAAACTCGTAACTCAGACATTGACTTTCGGGGAACACTGATCTTTACAACTTATAACCCTGTGGGGATTATTTCCGAATTAGTATCTACAATGGTGATGAATGTAGCCTGCATCGGTAAACACAATCTTCAGAAAATCGATGTCATTTTAAAAATTACTTTGAAACATTGGATTGAGTATAAAAGAGAGTGTCTACTATTGCCTTAAGTTACAGGGTGTTGTATATTTGACAATAATTGTAAATTGTTTCTTTTAGCCTAGATATTTAACCTTTTTTTTTCTAAAACAAATAATCAATGAGATATATTACTTTGGAAGGAGAAAACACAATAATCATATAAATCACTATCCGTTACTATCACTACTATCACATTACTGTTTTTGCTTTTAATTCCTTTCATACTAGGACAATCATGATCCCTGACACTT